GAGGATCTATCTGTGAACTTTGGGAAGCCTCAGCATGCCTGCTGTCAGCATGTGGAGCAGGCTGAACATCAGGGGGAGGTGCAGGTTCTAGAGGGCAGTGATGGGCTTCCGCGCAAACTGGTTCAACACTGAGAAAACAGACCAAGCAATGGTAGCTGTGCTTAGCTAAGTGTAGGTAATGTGTATTATAACAATCTGAACAACTAAAGCATGTCGATGAGCTCTAATTTAACTCCAGATGGTCAGGAAAGAGATGTCAGGGAAGGCCCACTTGCCCGACTGTTGGCTGGGCTGTGGTGGTCAGAACTGTGCAATCTGCTGTATGAGGGAATAATCTGTGGAGTGGCAGTGCCTCTTAAAAAAAATCAGCTTGCATCTTCGTCAATACCAGTGTGACTTGTTCTGCTTATGCTGTCTCAAAAGCAGAAAAGAAAATGAAGGATTATAAAGGAATCGGCTCCATAAGCTAAAACTGGGTTCTATTTTTGAAAGGAGAATTCAGCAAGTAAGGCTTTTTTTTAATGTTTTTTGTTTGTTTTAGAATGCTTAAAGAAGCAGCTGTTAGAAACTTTTTCTGTGGCTTGGAATGTTAGCTTATATTTTAAGAAAAATGGATTAAAGACTGAGGACAGGCAAACTGTGAAAATTTGTGATGCATCTCCTTATTATAGGAATAATTCTCTGTAGAGCAGTGTGGGTTTTGACACACGTCTGCAGACAGAGCTTACAGATACACAGCAAATTAGCAATGGATTGATCTTGCAGAGTTTTAAGTGCACTGAATCTGATCTTGTAAGGCATTTTAAGTAAATGCCTAACCTCAGACTTCTGAGAAGCCTCAGTGGCATTGTGATAATTGCTCTTTTGTTTTTAGGATTGTATTGGTAAATCTGCATTCTCTTCCCATAACTGCTATGCAGTTAATCCCTAAATTGAAAACACATGCAAAGTCTAACCACTTAATTGAAGATAAATTCTAAATTGCTGATGAAAAAGACCCTTTTGGAAAATGGAAAAGCTTGTCTTCCACAGCTTGTAAACTGTGTTAATCTGGTATTGACTTTGACAGTATACATTTGGTCCAGAACTACCAGCTGCCACAAATACTCTTTACAGTTGCTATTGAATCAAATGCTTTCATTTTTATTTTTATTTTTTTAGTAGGTGCGTGATGCAATGGTTGCTGGGCTCTATCATCTACTTTATTCTTCCTGGGGAAAGAACAGAGCAGGGGAGAGATGTGATAGGGCATTGAGCAGCTGTTGTCCACAGCCTCATGCTCCATGATCTCTGCACTACTACAGAAGGGGCTGGGGCTGCTACTCTAAAACACTGATGTGGTGGCCTCTCTGTGTTGTCATTTGCTGTCATCTTTTCCTCTAGGGTGACTGAACACAGTGACTGCCTTGTCATAGCTAAGACGTGCTCTGATATTACAGTCAATCTTAGGTATTATGGAGAAGTTACGTTTCAGGTGGAGGACAACCTGATGTTGGGTTGTACACAGTGTTTTGTTTTCAGTATACTACAGGAGGTCATCTTTTATGCAGAGTGCACTACTACTGCTTTACTCTGTAAAGACATATTTTTGTTTGGTTTTGTGGCAGAACAGCCTTTACGCCAGTTCTTTCCAGGGCTCTTATCGTTTCATTTCCATTTCTGTTGGCAAAGTGCAACCATGTCCTGAACTCTGCCTCCAAATAATTCTACTCTAAAATCGGGAACAAGATGCTGAACAAAACAAGAGTTTTTTGAGGAATGTGAATGGAGTTTAACAACAAAAGTGTCTTGGCAAGATGTTGTCCCAGTGACTAACATTCTGCTTTAACACCTCATCGGTTTTCACAGCACTGTAAAGACATTTTCATTGCAGTGTGAAGCCACTATTTACCTCTTCACACAGTCTGTGGTTTGAGATAACTTGTGTCTGGTCACACTAGAAGTAGCAAGAGGTTCAGTGGTTAGGGCACTGCTGAGTTGTTTGGGAGGCAGGGAATTGAGCATTGTGCTTTGGGGAGGATATTGGTGTGAGCCCCAGCAGAATCGGGGCACCTTTAGACCTCAGCTACCTTCTTGCAGTGGGGACTGAATATCCCTTTTCTACATCACAGACACAATGCTTTGTTGATAAATGTGTTCTGTGTTACAGAGTTCAGACTAAGAAATTGATACTGAAAGACTTCACCGGAGAGCTACACAGAATAACAAAAGTACAGAAAAACCTGTTTTTTGTAGTATGCATGGAAGTCAAGTCACAAAATTTAAAGCATAATCTTCTACCTGAGCTGCTAACAAGTTTATATTGGAAGCTCTTTGACTTGCTTCACCTTAATTTAAAGTGTTAAAAAAACCTGAAGATCTTGAATGGGAAGCCTGTGATATGAGGTGAATTCTGGTGGAGGTCAGGGAAAAGTATTCATACTCTGAGCATACTCAGAGGTGTAGATTACTTGTGCCTTGGTTTAGTTTCTAGATGGTTAGAAAGCCTGGTATTTGCTGCTAAATAATTCAGGTACAGGGTATCATTATGGTATGAGGTTTTAGTACAAATTTTCAGGGAGCACTTTTTATTAGCCTGCAGTAGCTCTGATGATTTCAGGGGAGATATTATGGTCATCTTGTGACAGTTACACATGCGTGTCTGGAAGATCCGTTTGCTACTAATGTAAAAGCTGTCCAACACAGCCTGATTGCCTGAAAATAGTGCTAAGGTAAGCTCAAACACTTGATACCTCTTCCTATTTGCTTTGCATCCAGTCTTCAGCTGATGATGTCGAGTGTTTCGTTCTTCCAGTTTCACACAAAGGAGTTCCTCCCCCCGGCCCAAACTCAAGCACATAATACAGAAAAGGTGTTTTAGCCAGCCGGTCTCCTGAGACATGCTCTACAACACGAGGGGGTACAACATACTTGAAAGGGAGACAAACAGAAGCCTGAGCCTTGTGCACAGCTCGTATGCGGGATTGGCCTTTCCTGCCAGGGTAGTTGGGGCACCGCAGGCACTGGCTTAGTTTCTTTCCACTGCACATTAAGCAAAGGCCAGGGCCTCTCGAAGTCAGTGGGAATCTCAGTGCTGAGCATGCCAAATTTCAGGACAGCTTCACAGTCTCCTGTAAACAATTCATAGAATTTTTTGAGTTGGAAGGGACCCTTACAAGTCTTCTAGTCCAACTCCTCTGCAATGAACAGGGATATCTACAGCAGGATGAGGTTGTTCAGAGCCCCATCCAGTCTGACCTTGAATGTCTCCAGAGATGGGGCACCATCTCTCTGGGCAATCTGTTCCAGTGCCTTACCACTCTTATTGTAAAAAAAACTAATTAGTTATATCCAATCTAAATCTCCCCTCTTTTAATTTGAAGTCATTCCCTCTTATCATATCGCAACAGACCCTGCTAAAGAGTCTGTCCCTTTTAGATACAGAAAGGCCACCTTCAGGTCTCCCTTGAGTCTTCTCCAGGCTGAACAGCCCCAGCTCTCTCAGCCTGACCTCATAGGTGTTATTTGTTATAGATGTTAGAATGAGATGTCTAACACCTCAGAGGTCCTGTACTGAGGACTCCATCTGAATGCAGTTCTCCAGGTGAGGCCTCACCAGCACAGAGGAAAGGGGCAGGATCACCTCCCTCACCCTGCTGGCTGTGCTGCTTTTGATGCAGCTGAGGATATGGTTGGTATTCTGGGCTGCAAGGGCATATTGCTGGCTCATGCCCAGCTTGCCATCCACCAGTACTCCCAAGTGATTTTCAGCAGGGCTGTGCTCCATCCTTATATCCCACATCTTGTACTTAGAGTGGAGGTTGCTATGCAAGACCTTGAACTTGGCTTTCTTGAAACTGAAGAGTTTCACTTATGTCCATGGCTTGAGCCTGTCTGGGTCTATCTGAGTGGCATCCCGTTCCTCGGGCATATCAACCACACCACCCATTTATGCAATGATGGGAACAAGAACTTCTTTCCTGAGCTGAGACGTTATTGTGGCATACATCACAAAGGGCTTTGAGACAGCTTTGAATATGGAGAGAGGAAAATCCTTCTCCCAGCTCGAGAAAGAAAGTAAGTTGCTGATTCCTGTAGACTTTGATAGCATTAGTATGTATTTTTGCTTCCCCTTAGCTTCAGGCAGCTCTATAAGGAGTTGCATTTAGAATGCAGATGCTCACCCATACCCAGTAAAAGGATGTCTCTTACTGTATGTTTTAAAAAAAATAAAATCATTTGACTTGCAAGAAGCATAATGCGCATTTTGTGGATTCTAAGTTGATTTTCTCCACTTGCTGAACGTCTTGTGGTATTTGTCTCTGCAAGTGTTGTTTGGCATGGTACTCCACTGAGCACAGATTTTGCTAACAAATGCTGAATGTGCAGTAAGTGAATTCTGCAGAACTGGGTCACCAGAAGGTTCTTCCCTTCTCGTCTGGTGACGTGAGACCACTTCTCAGTGGTGACTAAGAACAAAAGCCCCTGAACAACTCTTGTCTTGAATTGTGGTCGCGTATCTGTTGACAGTATATTTGGTTTGTATCATTTTGGAGACCGCTGAATCTCTAAATCCAATCTTGAATGGTGCATACTAATAGTAATCCTCAAAAGTGTAGATAGCATTAGGTTTTTCAATTGGAAAATCTTAATGTTATCAATATTGAGAGTCCACAGGTGAAAAAGTCATTATTATAATACAGTTGCTTATAAAGCTTGTCTGTGTTGATGCTACTGTTAGTGTTTGCCATTGCAAATTATTTATGATTGTCATTTGAAGCTGATGAAGTGTACAAGACAAAAACTTTGTCTGATCTTGGGAGAGTGGTAATCAGTGTAAACCTTTTGATTAAACTTATTGCTGTCAGTGAGTTATGTATGGATCATAATACTGCATGTTGTATGTTCTCCTTGCAGTGCTAAGCGTCGCAATGTTTGGCATGGAATGATTTGAAAGCTGTACAGAAGAATGCTGCTTATCATGAGATAACTGGCAATATGATATTTGCTGTCTTTTTCAGACTAATGGACACATATCTGGGAATGGAGATGTGTATCAAGAAAGGCTGGCTCGTCTGGAAAATGATAAGGAATCTCTTGTTCTGCAAGTGAGTCATCACCTAAATGATTTTTTTTCCCTTGCATTTATAAGACTTTTTGGTATTATGTGATTACACTTCTGAGGATATATTTGCAATTATGTTGTCTTGGGCAGTGATTAGAGAGCTTGCTGATACCTGCAAGTTAAACCAGATTAGGATATGTTATTAGGTTGTAGTAAAAGTCTAAATGCCTTTCTTTCTGTGGGTCTGCTGAGCAGGTCTGTAAAGCCACCAGTGGCTCACATATCTATCCTTAAGATCACTGTTTTTTTGTGGCTGTTTGCATGCTGTTCACATCAGGTGACATACTCTTCTCATGCAAGGTGACAAAAGCTGCGGGGGCTTGCTGATGGGCAGGAGGAAGAGAGCGCCTCTTCAGAAACCCTGCTGTCCTGTCAGGCTGCACTGGGCCTGAATAATCAGTTGTCTCGGAGCTCAGCCCCAGGTGCCTGGCCAGCTGGGTTACTCCTGCCATCATTGTTGAGGTTACCTGGCACCTCTCTGTCTGTACAGGCATGCTTCAGTCCTCAGTGTGCATCCAATGTGAGGGATGCCTGTGCAAGCATCAGGGTGTGCTCCAGCCAGCTTGCCATCCCTCCCGATGATACTGCAGGCTTCCTCAAAATAACCTGTTTGAAAATGTAAAGTTTATTCAGAAGCAGTGTGAAAGGGAGAAACTGTACACTGTGCTGTACTGTGTGCAATCACTTGGAAAGCAGAATAGCTGGCATTTGGTGAAGTTCAGCAATTTGGTTGTTAAGGCAGGAGCTTTAGTAAATACACTGTCACAGGCAAAGATAAAATTGTTGGCCATAAAATGCAACAGCCACTCTGGTGAAAACTGTCACGATGAGTCAGAAGGGAAGATGAAGAATTGCAGTGTGTCAACCAGAAGATTGGCAGAAGTTTCCATAAGTATGAGCGGAAAGATCCAACAGCTTTGCCATGCGTTGCATCCATTGCAGAGCTCCTCTGTCCCATCTTCTTCCATGGTCCCATTTTGTCCATATCGCAGGCAAAGCTGTTATTCCTATAAAGTTTTTCAGGTGATGCATACTGTACTGGTGCAAGTAAGTGCAGCTCTTTATCTCTGTTGTGCAGGTGAGTGTACTTACGGACCAGGTGGAGGCCCAGGGAGAAAAGATTCGGGATCTGGAGTTTTGTCTAGAGGAGCACAGGGAGAAGCTGAATGCCACAGAGGAGATGCTGCAGCAGGTATTTCACAAACACGTCTGTTGCTCCTAGGGAACAACATTTTGTTTTTGAAAGAGTGGTGTGCCTCAGTTCAAAGTGTATTCCTGATGACACTTAACTAAGTGACAATTTTCTACCATATTTGCTTTCAAGTCTTTGTACTTAGTAATGTCAGTGCTGTTTTACACTATAGGAATCCAGACCTGCTCTGCTTTGAGCCTTTCCCCACTGAACTTCAAAGAGGCTCGGATGAAAGCCTCTGGCTGGATGGGTGGATTCCCCTCAAAGCTCCCTGCTGCCCAGGGCAACTGTGATGACAGACAAGCTTTTTTCTCAGCCTGGCAGCCAACCTGTGATAGTGATCCAGTGATCTCAGCTGCATCCTAGCTGCCCAGAGTCTGTCAAATGGTTAATTGCTGTGTCCAGCACTTCAGGGAGTGCAGAGTGTATGACAATTTGCTCCTGAAAGGGGCCTTTAGCTGCTGAAACAAATGACTGATTTCTTTCCCCTTGGATGAATAATTCTGTTTTGTTCCTCCTTATCTTGAATCAGGAACTTTTGAGTAGAACATCCCTTGAAACTCAGAAGCTGGATCTTATGGCAGAGATTTCCAATCTGAAGCTAAAGCTTACATCTGTAGAGAAGGATAGATTGGACTATGAGGACAGATTCAGAGATACGGAGGTGAGTGAAAATCAGTGAAATAAATTATGAAAGCTGTGTGTGCTTCACATTACCAGAACATTTATGGGAATGTTTTTTGTTTTGCTTTGTGTTCGTTTGTTTTTTTGCCAGACAAAGAAGATATTCATCTTTAAGGTTAAAACGCCTGTATCTCAAAATCAGTGTCCCCTTTGGCTTGGTAAACCAAGATTTTTACAAAGAAAGATTTCCCTAAAGAGTTTTTGATTCTTGCCCTCAGGTTTTCAGGCAGGTGGCATTTAGGATGACTTTAAATATAACTGTGTGAGTTCATTGCACTTTTCCATCCCAGCTTGCAGCTGTCTTTTTTGAGTAAGGCATGTCTGTTTGAGACAAACTGTGTCCATTGCAAGGGCAGAAAACATGCCAACACATGTGCCATGTCTTTGCACATGCTAAAAGGCATAAATTTTGTTTTCAGTAACAAAGAATGAGGTGACTTTGTGAGAGCATTTTGAAGCCTCGCTTCAGACCTCAGCTCCACGGAAGGGGGCTGCAGATATTCTTCTCAGCCTGGCTTTGGCCCAGAGCTGTACAGTGCCAGGCAGAGCTGCAGCCTGAAGCTGCCATCTTTGGAAGCGCTCTCCTCAGCCATTTGCCTTCTGTGCCCCTTGGATTGTGTAGCTGACCCTTGTTTGTCTTTGAAGCTAGAAACCCAGAGACTGCAGGTTGGCGAGCTTAGTTTTTACAGGAAACTCCAAGAATTAGGCTGTGCTTCACTGCAGGGGTAACATACCCTTGTCAGAAATACCTTGGAGCCTGTCAGGGAAGAAAATTTCAAATACTGTTTTTTTTCTGAGGATTTATAAATGAGCTGAAATGTCTGATGTTCATATTGTAGGTGTTCCAGATGTCATTCATTTCTAGAAGAGAAGCAGCTGTAACAAAGGGCAAAGCTTGACCCTTTCACTTTAATGTGTTTTTTAATTCCCTTTCAGGTTCCTACATGTTAGCCAGTGAAGTTATCAATTATCATTCATATTAAATCCTTCATGTCATCCAGTTTTTAATTATGTTTCTCATTTCAACTTCCCCTTCTAGCTTGGTAGGTTTCTTATGTTCACCATTCTTTCTCTACAAAGATGCTTTGCTAGATGTGTTAGCCTTTTTTCCTTTGTGCTCTAGGACTTTTCCTGTCTACATGCTCAAATACACAGCTTTTTCAAAGCTAATTGTATAATTTATAGAGATTTATAATTGATCTGTTCTTTAACCCATTCCAGTCTTTCCACTTTCTCAGCAGACACTAAGATTATTTTCCATAACAAGCGTGGACAGTCTGAGTTGAGCTTGGTTTTTGTAAGAAAATATATTAGGGAGTTTATTTAGGGAGGAGTCCATAACCAGACATGGTCTTTGAAGCAGGAGCCAGAGGTTAAACTTGCTAACTCATGGAGAATTCTTCATAACTTAAAACACCACCAGGCTCCTTTGTGCGGGTGAATTTCTCAGTGGAGGAGAATTATGAACATAGTTTGCATTCCCAGTAGTGGTAAGAAAGCCTCTGACCCTCAAAGTCTTACGCTGCCCTTGGTTTTTTGTGCCTCTCTGGCCCCACAATGGAGAGCACAAAGTAATGCAATCAGGGATGGAAAAGAGTTTTGGAAATAGGAGTCCATGTCAGCCCCATCAGATACAGTTGTAGGTCCATACAAGGAAAAACTGTTGCTTGTTTGCACGGAGGGATCTGTCTCTGGATCAAAAGAGGACTACTGTGCATGTTTTTTAGTGATTCAGCAGCAGGGGAGGCAGGGCTGTTTAGTATTTTTCTTTTTCCTCTGCTTTGTTATGCAAAGCCTGGCCGTCTTGTTTGTACTGTTGAGGGTCTCTGTGGAGCTTGGTGAATCTTCAGTGTGACTTCATGCCTAAAAAAAGCTGAGAAGGAATGTCATTATAGTTACCATGCTTTAGATAACCTAAGACATGAGAGATGTCTCTTGTTGTATGTGAAGGTGAGTAATTAGAAGTATTTTTAGGGCAAAGCATGCTATTAGGACTCCTCTTTAGTTCTATTTAGCCCTTGGGTGAATTGTACAGTATTTTTGGTGACCAGTTGCTACTGATAAAGGATTCAGTTATGCAAGGCCCATATTAAAACAGGAGATTTTAGTTTCCAATCCAGGATCTCGTGCTCTTGTTTGCAATATAAGTCTGTTTCTCTGACAGTACGAGTGTATCTTGACACTTCTGTTAATCTTGTGTTATTTTTTTTCAAAAAAGGAGAATAATGTTGTGGTTTTTTTCATTGCTTCACTGCGGCATTTTGAATATAGGTAACTGAATATGGATAATATGGATTTCCCTCTCCCCCTCCAATATTTTAAAAATCATGTAGTTCAAGTGAGAAGTACGTAGGCAACAACTTCAGCATCTATTGCCATGTGTAGGATATTTTGACATTGGGTCATAGCATAGAAGAAGTGATGGCTGCAGGAGATAAAATCTGAAACGAATTGTCAAAGTGTCAAAACTAACTCTCAGACCTGGAAATGTAGATTTTGTTAGAGGTCTTTAGCACCTAGCACTGTTGAGGAACAACTCAGTTAATAGTGACATCTGTGTGTATTTAGAGTTGAGTGATGTGATTTATAGAAGTTGTGGTTTGAAGAACCAGTAAGGAATTGCAGATGTATTGAAATTAGTCATACAGAGAATCATAGAATCACTCAGGTTGGAAAAAACCTTAAAGATCATCAAGTCCAACCACAGCCTAACCATACTACCCTAACTCTAACAACTCTCCACTAAATCATGTTCCTGAGCACCACATCCAAATGGTTTTTAAACACATTCAGCGATGGTGACTCAACCACCTCCCTGGGGAGCCTATTCCACTGCTTAACAACTCTTTCTGTAAAGAAATGTTTCCTGATATCCAACCAAAACTTACCCTGGTGCAACTTGAGGCCATTTCACCTCATCCTGTCACTTGTCACCAGTGAGAGGAGACCAACCCCGCTCTCGCTGTAAGCACCTGACAGGTATTGGAAGAGAGCAATAAGGTCTTCCATCAGCCTCCTTTTCCCCAGACTGAACAGCCCCAGTTCCTTCAGTCTCTCCTCGTAGGACATATTCTCCAAGCCCTTCACAAGCCTTGTTGCCCTTCTCTGGACCTGCTCCAGCACCTCAAAACTGAACACAGTACTCGAGGTGAGCCTCACCAGTGCCAAGTATAAGGGTAGGATGACTTCCCCAGTCCCGCTCACCACACCATTCCTCATACAATCCAGGATGCCATTGGCCTTCTGGGCACACTGCTGGCTCGCATTCAGCCGACTATCCATCAGTACGCCAAGGTCTCTTTCTATCAGGCAGCTTTCCAGCCACTCCTCCTCAAGCCTGTAGGGTTGCCTGCAGTTGTTGTGACCAAATTGCAGAACCTAGGGACTCTTGGCCCTATTGAAACTCATGCAATTTAATTTTGCCCGTACATTAGTAGCAGTAATTGTTATTACCATCCTCAAATGTTCTATGTTTTCATTGTAGTTGTGGTAATAGAGCTTGGACTGTGCTAAGGAAATACAGGTTCTGCTTGGTCGCTATCAGATTCATTATGCATGTATAACCAGAGGTTTCTAAGTTAGGAAAATACGGAATGGGGGTGGGAAGGTATTACCAGGGACCCACACAACTCCTGGTTGTGTAGAAACCATTATGCAGCAGTTTGAGTCCACTTCTGTTTTATAGGGTGCCCAAAGAGTTAATCTTCTCTTCTGAAGAGTTTCCTAGTGATAAGGCACTACATTAGCTGTTCAGGAATGGATTTTTATTTTTAATCTTTTAACTTGCAAGCGTAACACTTATCTGAGATCCATGCATAAATGAAAGATCGGTGCAATAAATGTGAAACAGAAGCTTGCTGGATGTCTTGAAGATGTGCAAAAACCACAGCTTTTTGGTAATGTGCTCCCCTTCAGAGCAGAGGGGGTGATTTTCCCCAAAAACTGTAGCTCTTATTCTCTGTCTTATATGGAAAAACGCTCTGTCCTGCCTGTTGCACAGGCTTCCTACTCTGTTTCCTGATCTGGAGGATGGGGAATCTGGGGGAAAGACGACTTTGTCCATTGGTGGGACACAACCTTAGCATTCAGTTAACCTCTGCAGGAAGAGAATGCTCACAGTTAATGTCCAAATGTGGTAGGTCTCTGCTGTTGTGTTTTTACGGTCTCATCAAAGCATGCCTAGCCAACTGTCACTCTATTTACTGATTTTTCCTCTTGTTTCTGGTCTTGTTTTCTCTTTCACTCAGGACTTGATCCAGGAGATAAATGAATTACGATTAAGAGTAGGAGAAATGGACAATGAAAGACTACAGTACGAGAAAAAGCTTAAAACAACCAAAGTAAGTGAGGCTGAGGGGAAGGTGCAGAGATGGGTGCAAATCACAAGTTTTAGAACTTCTTCCTGTTTTTCCCCAGTCCTTGCCTGCACCTTGCAAAATTCTGAGCGTGCTCAGGCCTAGGAGTTTCATGGTGCTCACTTAGAAACTCAAACAATACGTAAAAAGGGATTATTTCCAAATGTCATGTTGTGGTTTTCAGATCCAGACATTGTTTTTTATAAAGGATAACTCACCACACAGGGTCAGTAACCGTAAATATTTTATTGGTTAGACCCTTGATTCACTCGTAGGTCAATACCAGTTGTGGTGCATAAGGCATGTGCCATGGGTGAGATCAAAGCTGAGTGTTTCTTTTTTCCTAAATGTGCTGAAAATCAGCCACTCCTGAAAACATTCCCCTAACTGACTGTAGCACTTTTTGCGTTCCTGTAAGTTTCTGACTTCTCTTTGCCATTTAGCTTTGTCTCTTTTCTGTCTTTAGTTTTCTCTCACTCCTCTATCTCTGTTACCAGTCTTTAATGGCCAAACTTTCTAGCATGAAAATCAAAGTGGGTCAGATGCAGTATGAAAAGCAGCGGATGGAGCAAAAATGCCAGATGCTAAAGGTGTAGTAGTTTATGGGTAACATTTGGCCTGTTTCGAATCCTTCATGTTCCACCATTTTATGGTCTGTCTTGCATTGTGCTGTCATGCTCTGTTCTTCATTGATTGCTGTGTGTTGATATGCAGTCCTCCCTTTCTCATTAGATTGCAAGGCTCTTAGTGTAGATATGATTTATAAGCTTTTATATCAAATGGGAGAGGATTTTAGTGTCATGAACTTTGCATGGGTTATTCGTAGTTTAATTAAGCTTGGATTAAGTTCATTCCTCTTCCAAGGGAAAGCAGCTTCTTCTGTAATTTACTTCCAATATTCAAAACGAACTTTTCCTCACTTTTTTTAAAGAGAACATTTATTCATTTCTAGCTAGAAAACAGTGATTCTCTTTCACTGTCCCCTCTCCCACATGTTAGTTTCATATCATGTTTCTAAAGGAGGAAAGATAACATAGCATCAGCAACTACAGGTAGCTCAGTTCCCCTTGATTTACCACAGCTTTCATATGACTGAGAAAGGGTCTTGTTTTGGAGAAGCACAGGTCTTACACTGTCAGAAATCCCATCAAAATCAGTACCAACTTGAAGCACTGGAGAATTGTTTGGGCCATTCTTTGGGTTACAAATATCACTTCCATGCATATTTGTAATAGATTGTTTGAGGGAAGCTCATGAAAAATCTAAGCCATCACGGTATTCTAGTTGATTTGTTCCTTAAAGAATTGAACACTTACGTAGGAGCTATAAATATCAAAATTGAGGCTTGTTTTGTTTACAAATAGAGCAAATTAAATTTTTAGTGTTGGGTACCTTTGCTCTAGGGGTTCCTGTCTTGATGATGCTGTTGCTCAAGATATCTTCGGACATCAGGGAAACATTTACTAAGCTGGATAGGATTTGACTCAAATTTTTAAAAGCTACATGCGTGGATCCATGCCAGTCTCTTGCTGGGTGCAGATGGTTAGATATAAGTTGTAATTTGACAGCATTTCTCTAATATACCTCAACTCCCCCAAAACACCATCTGTCTTGTTCCCATGAAACTCAACTCTAAGCCTTCTTTCCTAATGCTATATCAGCAAATCTAAACTGTGGCAGAGGTACCATGTTTTTGTCTGAACTGCTTTTCAGTATGTGTTTGTGTTTGATGGCATTACAGTCAATTTGTGTGTACAAGCAGTGATTGTTTTTGAAAATGTCCTCAGCCTGTTCCATGAGAACAACTCCATAATTGTCTGACTTTGAACCTGCACAGTGTTCTATAAAAATCAAAATAAGTACTGTAAATCTTAGCTGTCAGCCTCATCACTTGAAATTTTTCTGTCTGTGCCAGTTTAAACAAGAAAACTGCTTTTTTGCTTTATGCTTTCTTCTTTAATTTAGATGTAAAATCTTTTTTTTTTCAGATAAATTCATGAGAATGACACTTTTGTCCATTGGTCCTCTGGTTTTGCCCCCTTGAGAACTCAGTGGTCTGTTATGATACTCAGAGGCAGAGTTTGGTGGGTGTCCCCTCAGCTAGGGTAAATTTTAGAGCCCTTAGTCACTTCCACTGTCTGAAGAGCTGTTCACTGTGCTTCATACGGTTGATTTTTGAAAACATCTCAGATGTGCATAGAAACTGTCACTGAGTGATTCTGTGTCTGTTACAGGATGAACTATCAGCTTTGAAAGAGAAACTGGAGCAGAAGGAAGCTGAGGTAAAAAGGTTGCAAGAAAAATTGGTATGCAAGCTGAAAGGAGAAGGAATTGAAATACTGGACAGAGGTAAGAACATGGAAGGCTCTCTTTGGACTGTGCAGAGGCGACATGTCCTCCTCAGTCCCTTCATTGGAGGTAGTGCTTCTGGGTGTGAACTGCAAATAACAGATAAAATCCTCAACTTTCATGCACTTTCTAGTTTACTTCTTTTACCACATGTAGTGAGTATTCACAGTGCTGCTGCTGAACCTACCATTGGAATAGGTTCTTGATCAACACTGAACTTATCTTGGTAATCCCTAGTTCATGAGGCTTTTGCATCGTGCCTCAAAATACACAGTTTATGTTGGCAAAGAAAGTCTTAAATTAATTTCAGCCTGTTTTCTAGAAAGCTTATACTAAGAAGTTCCCTCCTCAATATATCTTCCACAGTGTTTGTGTCTGGGCTTTGCTTATACACCCCTTACTGTTAAGGAAGAGGAAAAGCCATCCTGCAAACCTAAGTATGATGTATTCATATTCATCGTGGCTCCAGTCCTAAGAAGGATTGAGGATTGGTTCTGGATTTGCCTACTGGTTAATTCTAAATCCTAACTAAACCTGAATTAGCTCTGAAATGTAATGTCAAATACTTCTTTTATTTGCTTGCAAAGAAGAAGCACAATTGGTATTTGTTTGGAGGAAACTCAATTTCAGGATCTTCATTTGAAAATAGAAAACTTTCTTTAAGGCCTCAAAAGAAAATTTCCAGTTTTTGACTTGCTGAAATTTCGTTTCTGAACATATCTCACAAATAATTGTCCTAGATTTTAAATCCAGCTTCAAGAGATTGATTGTTCATTTCTGACCTGAGGTAGAAAAAGCTGTGTGTAGGTTGTCAAATTTTACTTAATAAAATTCTGTTTTTAAAATTTACTCTGAAAGAGCACTAAAAGTGACAGCACTGAAATGTGATTCCTGTTTTTAAAATATTTAATTGTAAACAAGGTCTTGCTTTATTGGTTTTTTTATTACCTAAATGGAGCTTTTCTTTCTTGGGGGCTGCTGTATACATTGAACCTTCATTACCCTTTGGTTCTCACCTGTAGGTCAGTTTTCAGTATAGCTCAGCAGAGGGATCTTCTGCCATGATGAACCATGGATTGTGCTTTCTGAACAAATTTTTGTACGTTATAACTTTTCTGGCTTTCACATAATGTTAGCTTAGGAGTAACTATTGATGTAAGCTTTTTCTGAGACATTGTTACCTGTTAAAAAACAGGTGGAATCAAATCAATATCAATAATAATCAATATCAATAATCAATAATCAAATATCCTTGAGATAGGTAGACATATATCAGCAGGGAGACCATTTGAGTCATTTGGAAAATCAGCAATGAGAGTACAGTGCAAAACATGAACTGTTTGCTTCTGCAACACTGTGTGAGGAACAGTTACTCCTTAAGTAGCAATGTTTTGTTAAGTTTATTTAATTCTGTAACCTTCGTGCTAATTTCAAATCCAATGGACTTTTCTGCACAGATGAAAATTGTAAAAAGAAGCTCAAAGATAAAAGTAAGGTTTCTGATGTCTTTCCACAAGCATTCCAGAAGAGCTTTCTGCATGTGATTGTGAAACTGCTTTAACAAGCACTCTTAGGTTGTGTCATCTGTAACCCTTAGTTACGCTTACCTGTCCATATTCTCAAATTTTACTGTATATCACACTTGAAATACAAAGTTTTCAGAAGAAAAGCTAATAGACAAAGATTTGATTTCATGGAGAATCACAAAATTCTGCTTCAAAGTAGAGTGCACAGATTTTTTTTCCTTAAAATGCACACACAAAGAAAACAGTTGCCTCCTAGTGAAATGCAATTACATTCCAGTAGTCCAGATTTGCTGTAAGCATAACTTAGTGAAAATCGTTGGAACTGTATCAGTTGCAGTATTACCCAATATACCTAAATGGCTTTTATCTGGAAAGGCAGCTTGTTTTTCATTAGGGAGGAGGGTGTTCTTCCCACTGTGGGTTTTGTTTTGTTTTGTTTTTTTCCCAAAGGAATTTGAGGAGGTTAAAATGCTTTCTTGCCTGTGCATTTGCCCACCTCCAAATGTTTGTAATGATGTTTCAAGTTTATTTCATTTAGGCAAGGTAGATTTTTAGATTTAGAAATTGAGATCATTTCAATTCTTTCATTTCTGTAGTCCAGAACACCTCCAAATTCAAACCACATAGACTGTTAAAAATACATGGAGACATTTATGTTCTGTTTCCTCATAAATAAGGATTACAGATGAAACTCTGATGAACCACGATCTCTGTATTAGGGACCTCTTTCAAGTCTGAACTACAGTATGTATTCTAGCATGACTGCTTGTCATAGCAAATACTTGCATCATTTCTTTGTGCCATCCTCATTTCTACATCCATACTGAATTATGACTAAACACCACTGCACAATGCTTTCTTTGTCATGTTTGTTAATCCTGTTGCTTTGTATAGTGAGTTTTTGAGATGTCACTTGGGTGTTTGTTGACTGTTGTAATGAGGATGTATGCTGTTGTGCTCCAGTTGTAGTATTTTGTATTTTGGACCTCTTGTTTTGTGGTTATTAGATCACATGAAGAACAGAGTGATATTCAAACAGTAATTGTACTCTTGACTTTCATTTTTCTTGAAACTGAGGAGTAGGTAAGGTAATTTCATGAACTTGGTCATTTCCTAGGTTAAAGTCAGAAAAAAAGGTTTTGGAGAAAAGTAGTCCACATATTTCCATCTAACATAGACTGTAAGTGGCTTAAATTTACAAATTAAAGCAAAATACACCTTCAGATACTACTGAGTTGATTCTAGGGTTGTTGTTTTTTTTTTTCTTATTTCCTTACACTGTCTCATTTAACTTATGTAACTGTGTTGTGTTTTTAGATATAGAGGTACAGAAAATGAAGAAGGCGGTAGAATCTCTTATGGCAGCAAATGAAGAAAAGGTAGCAAAGCCATTATTTTTTGCATTAATAATTTTTTAGATTCAGTTACATCTCTTTAAAAAAAAAAACCAACAAACTGCATATGTGAACTTCTCACAATTCAGTACAAAATTAAATCTGTAAGAATCAAGGGATCACTACAGTCAGAAGTGTTGTGGAGCCTCTTAAGGGGGTATAACTGGGCATTTATTCCCATGCACACAGCGTCCTTGCAAATCAGTGTCACGAAGTTCAATGAGACTGGAATTTACACCAGAATTCTGCACCCTGTCCCATCCGTGCCTCCCAATTACTTTTAGTTTTCCAGACAATTATTGAGTAATTGTATTTATTATTTTTGATTTACTAAAGGAAAAAAAAAACATAATCACAATTCTCTTCTGTTTCAGGATCGAAAGATAGAAGAGCTTCGACAATCTCTGAATAGATACAAGAAAGTTCAAGACATGGTGATATTGGCTCAAGGTAAAAAAGGTACTGTGCAGTTTATGAAGTTATAAACTCTACTCTCACTCAAATAGTAGGTGCACTGTGATAGCGTTACATCAAATCTTAGACTTACCTTTGGAGGTATCTCTTAGAGTAAAGGCCGGTTCTTCAACTAGTGCAGACTAGTAAATTGCCTTTTCTGACCATGCAGCTGAACATTTGGCTCCTCTGGTAGTAGTAATTTTCTACTGTCGTGTTGCATATTTGACTGTTGTAAAGTTAGAGTGTGATGAATTCCCGTGCTCATTCCATTGCCTCTTGAAATACTTTTCTGGGCTAGGTACTATATTAACTGTTAAATTTCACCATTCCCTTCACTTGCATGTGTTCCTTGGGAGGCATTGGAAGCTGAGTGGAGCAGTCACTGAGCAGGCATGTTCCTTCAAGTCAAACCAGCATTGCCACAGCAGCTGCACACACAATGCCCAAGAGCTGCAAAAAATATAAGTAGCAAAGTGGACATCCTGCCAAGACTGTGTTGCAATGACACACCATGTCTTTGGCATGTGATAGAAACTTCACAAGCTGCCAAATACAGCAGCTACAGAATAATTCTCCTTCCCTGTTACAGGAGGGTAGGCTGGCTTTTCCTCATCTTTCTTAGTAACCTCTTCTGTCCTGCACACACACATGTAACATGTAGTGTTACAGCCACTGTAACATGCAGTATTGTACTTCATACATTCAAAGACTGGTGGAGCATTCCAGATCTAGGAGCTTCTGATCCCCAAAGGTTATAAAGGTTGAGGGTGGTCATTGTCAGTTCAGTGTAACAGCCCTCAGTACCTCTCTTTCTCCTTTCTTCCTGTAAAAAGTAAAAGAAACACAGGGAGGGCATGAGTCATGAGAGCAAAGCAGTGTGCTTACTGTTATGGAGAAGGAGGAGCATTTTTGAATTAGGGATTGCTTTTTCACACAGTGCCATGCCTTCAAAGTCTGGAAGATGTTAAAACAAACCTCAAGTCTACCTGCCCTCTACCTCAAGTATAGATGGTAACAAATGGGCAAGGAAGGATCTGGTAAACAAACATGGCTTATTTTTGCACCAAATCTTTGGCAATAAGTGCTAGACTTCTGCTTGCCTTTTAGAAAACATTGTTCGTCTTGAACCAGTTAACTCCTATTGGAGTCAAAACTGTGACACTATGATGTGTGGAAATCTAAGTCCTGAGGTTGTAGTGAGGCAGTTCAGAAGTGGCAAATTGTTCAGTGGGCACAGAGGATGCCAAGTGATGCAGGCTACTGTGTTAATTAAATGAGACGTGCTTAATTTATGGCAGTCTTTAAATGTAATGCAGTCACTTAAAACTGGTTTTAGGCTTTTAGACTGTGGGCTGTTTTTTGTTGTTTTTTTTTTTTAATGGGTAACTTCAAGATACCACAGAGGCAGGTGTTTTTCTCAGCACAGACTTTGACCCTCCAAGTCTTTCCCTAGTGAATACAGGGAAAGAGGTACTTAGTATGAAAACCCAGGACGTGGGACAGGAAATAACTACTCCAGTTTATTCAGCTTTTTGAAAATGATCCCACTGAACGTTTTGAAGAGGGCTTTTGCTGTCAGATGCATATTTCCACCCTGCTCCAACCCTAGTGTGCTGTGGTGGTTGAATTGGGAAGCAATATTTATTGATGGCACCCTTCTCCTATTGTACTCTCTCCTGAAAGTAAGGCTGCATTGCATAAGAGCAAGGGTCATTGTGTCAGATAAACAAATTTCCATCTTCTCTCCCTCCAGGCAAGGACAGTGACAGTGAAGACTTCCTGAATTCAGGATCTATCTCCACAGTTTTATTGGACACACCAAGTCTGACTGACCCAGAAAAAAGTCCATCCCCAACCCCAGTAACAGCGTCGCCAATCCACGATGAATTTAACACAAATATTCATGAAGAGGTGTATTTTTTTTCTTCCTCTATTAGTGCCATTACTCCTTGAAAGCTTGCTTGTGCTCGACTTGTGTTACAAACACCAAGACTCAAGATTTTTCTGGGTCACACAGTTTTAGTAATATATTCTTTTTGATAATGTCCTTTTGATTATCCTTTTGGATAATGTGAACTTCTTGTGAAACCTGCTGGGGAGTTTGATTTGAGTTCAGTTAGTGTATTTTTCTTAATCAGATGGAATCAGGAGATAACAAATCACTGTATTTGTCATGAGAATGCATCTAAACTATTTCTTGTATTAGACATAGCTATTTTAGGAGCTACATTTCATTTGTCAAGAACTTGAAGTAAACATGCTGGAACTTGTTTAATACATCCTGTCATATTTAAAAGGTTGCAATCATTGTTTCATGTTTACATTCAGTGAAATGAAAAATCTCTGATTTTTACAGTCACATTTTCCAGCAGTAAAACTATAGATCTCTTAAAGCTCTGAGTCAAGATAGGGACTTTGAACACACTATGACGAACTATCAACTAAATTAAATATTCAGCTGCTGCTTGGTATCCTGTGAGTAGCACAAGAACAGGAGTGAACCTAAAAAGTGAACTGCTCTTCTTGGAGACTGGTGGAGAGAAGTTTAGCAGGCAGGCTCTGGAGGCTTTGAAGATTTTTGCCTGTGCTGTAGCTTATCAGTGCAGCAATTCACGCTTTATCTTCCAGTGCCATCTTTGGAGTAGTAAACCTCCACTCTGTGACAAAGGAAAGAAAGCAAATATGTATTCTTTTTATTTTGGAGCCTTCTTTCCATAGTTTATCTATTACGGTTTTCATTTTTGGCTGCTACTTTTGAGCTCATTTCAATGTAATGGATAATGTTCATTTTTTTTTTAGAATTCCTTACAGATTCACAAAAGTATTCTGCAGATTTCAATCCCATCTTTTTCATCAACGTCCAAGAGCTCAGAAACTGCTGCAGAGAAAGTGAAAACACAGCCCAGACCAGATCCTACAAGTGATTTGAGGTATTACTGTTTCCCCACATATTCTTCAATTGTAAATTCAATATTTGGCATTTAATGAAAGTAATTATCTGCCGATTACCATACTGTAAAGTTATTAAGTCCATTAAACCAGGGTAGCATTCACTTGACTAGCAATAGTGAACTCAGCTTATGTTCATAAAGGACATTGGTTAAATCTTTTTCAGTAAGTAAGCATTAGTGTGTTGGTTGTTGCTTGTAGCAGCACTCATATTCTATGCCAGCTGCTTCACAAGTAATGAACAGAAGGAGAGAAAAACTGATCTAATGTAATGAAGAACACAGAATTTTTATTTTTATCTGGTTTTACATCATGTAGGACTGAGATAGCGTTGTCTGTGCTACCAAATGTGTTTCTGATAATTTGCATCCAGATATTTTCCACAGTTGCTAAGGATTGGTGGAAGTGCAGCAGAAAAAGCTGTCCAGCACTAATCTTGGGCTGTTTCCAGAGGTACAGAAAGAAACTAAGAGGCATTTGAAAAGATTAGAGAAGGAGATAAAGAACCACACTGAGTCTGAGACAATGAACTGCAAAGACATTTCTTTGATTGTTCTTATAGGAACCCTGCATGAGGTACTCCAATGCCAGGCTAAATTTGTCAGTGCAGAATCCCAAGGAAGCTGGGGCAGTAGATGTTGTAGCTCTACTCTGAGGCTGTGGCTGAGCTGTAGCTCCTGTGCCCCATACCACAGCCTGCTGGATGAGAACCTCATGCAGCTCTAGCCATTGCTGGCAAGGGTTTATATCCTGACTCTGAAGAAGAAAACAAGCAAAGCACCAACAGCAAATGTCCTAGCACTGTGGCTAAACTGCAGGGAGCGGGTCATCTTTGGTGCTTCAGACTCTCTGCATACTGTATCCTCTGCATTTATTTAATCTCAATGTGCAGCATTTTCATGCTAAGAGTGTTTGTTTTCTTTCCTGGTCCACTTTAGCTCACCTTTGTCTTTTGGAAGACTTATGACTGCAGAAGAGAAAATTTGGTGTGTTTCAGTGCAGTAACAGCTGAAACAAAAACAGGCTTAAAACGTCATGGGTTTCTGTATTAGCAAGACATTTGGAGATCCCATCCAAATATTTTATTTTTTTCATGTATTTCATTTTTACAGTGAAGTAAGATCAACACGTTCCTCTCCAGAAACTCAGCCATGTGATAGTCCAGTGTAAGTATCACAACCAAATGTATTTGGGAAACATTTATATGCAACTTTTGACTCAAACCTCCTGACCCATGTTTCACAGACACATGTAAATATGTTAACTAATTCTAGTCAAGATGATATACAGTGGTGGTTTTCTTTTGCTCATAACTGTTATTTTCCAGTGCTTTATTTGTGCAGAAGTACTCGCAGTTTATTTTATGTTATTAAGTATCTCTAATTGAGTCATAAACTGTTGTTGTACCTGCACCCTAGTTTGGTTTTTGTTCTTCTGGTAATGTAGAAAGGTCAATCAGATGACTACAATAAAAACATAATTTTAACTTCTGCCACATAGCCTTACTCCCCAGTGAAATCAGTGGGACTATTTCTGAATGTGCATATGTGTCAAAGCAATTTGTTAGCAAGGAGCACAAGACAACAGGGCTTATCTGCTACACAGCATAGGATTCAGAGCCTGATTTTATTTTGAGTGACTTAGTGCTGTGAGAACATGCCCAAAGTCAAATTTTATTCTCTTTATGCTGTTATAAAGATAGATGACTTTGTGAGATTCAATGAAGTTACTCTTAACTTAGACCTGGCTTTGGGGAGTCTTTAGTGATAACTCTCTTTTCAAACTTAAGCACTCTAGACTTTGTCCCATCAGAACAGACAGATATCTGGTCTGAAATGAAAAACAGAACTGTAGATAAAATACTAAACCATGATTCACTTAGCGTGTTTGGCTTCTTTAAGGATTAAATTAGTCAGAAGCCTGATGCTAATAATACTGTTTTTCATAGCTTCTGTTTATAGCACTTCCTTTTGCCTGTGTACATTCTGCTTGTACTTCTGAATATACTACTTTAAATAAAAAGCCAAAAATATCCCAGGTAGGCATTAAGTCACTGCAGCATTAACATCAGTAATTATGAAGTGGAGATTTGTAGAATGTGTCCTACAACTGTGTGGGCTCTGATTAGTGCATTGATTGCATTCATTCAAAATGTCTGTGTTTTTGAATATGTTTCATCACATACTGTTATTTTTAAAGCTGTCTCCTGAGAGTGTATCTATCTTTAAAAATTTAATGGAGTTTTTCAGCTAATTTTTTTTGTTTCAGGACTTCCTCACTGCAAAAGTCCAGCAGTCTGAGCAGTTTGAAGAAAGAGACATCTGAAACGGTGTGTGTGGGCTCTCACTTCTTCCTCTCCCTTTGAAATGTGAATGACATCTCCAGTGGGGCTCTGAACCTATGAATGTCCTATTGCCTTCCTCAGGGCCAGAGCAGGTGTAGCAATTGGACAGGTGAATATGATGGAAAGGCATTACAGCAGAGGTACAATGACAGAAGGACCAGCATGATAGAAAGGTGCTATAAAGGAAGAGAAGAAGATTGCTCACCTGTATCAAAAGATTCCAGGTTCAGAGGAGAAAGCTCCACTAAGGAGGGATCTCCAACAAAAGATCCTTCCCCAGTGGCAGTCAGCCCTTAAATGAGGTCTAAGAGAGGTGCAGCCAGGCTCCACCCCTTCTGGTCACACAACTGAATTGCCTTCATTTGTGCTTCCAGGTCTGACCAGGTCCTTTCCCCAGGTACTCAATCAGTGGTTCAGGCCATGACTCAACAGTTCCCATACAGCAGGGCTCTTCACATCATGCGTTACCAGTGATCATAAACATGTCACATCTTACAGATTTAATGAAAAAAACATAGGTTTTGCTAGGAGGTGTTTACATGAGATTCTTGTGGCTGTTTTTGTTTGTTGTCTGTTGTTTTTTTTTGACAACCTGGACTGTTAAAACTCATAAATTCTCTGATATTCAAGCAGCTGAGCTTTGCTTTACAACTTAGAAAAGATGCTGATAGGATTGAAAGAGTGAGCAAAACTTGATGATAAAAGCTAGAATTCTTGAGTTGTTGGGGTGGGGAGGTTGGTTTGTTTGAACAGCTAAGGAATGGAGTCTGTGGATATTTGGTCACTACCCTGTCTGATTCCTGGTTTGGGTCTCCTCAGCTGACTGAGCTGCAGGTGGCTAATTATATACATAGCTAATCCTTTCCAAAGTAAACTAAAGCAACTGTATTTTCATGTCAGCTCACTGACCTCAAAAAAGTAAGAATTAATCTGAATTAATACAGCTTTGAAGAGATTTCTTTTGGGAAAAAAGAATGCAGAGAAGGGTATTTCAGTAAGAATTCAACTTAGGGTAATGTTGATGAACTGAACACTTACTATAAACTGTGAATTCTTAATGTGTTTCTTAATCTTTCCCAAACAGGATAGGGATGCTGCTTCACAAAAGCCAACAGAGGTAATGTTTGTGTGTGTGTGTGCACTTGTGGCTATACGTGGAGAAGCGTGGGATGCATGGATGTTGGAAGGCTCAGTCACCTGAAATTGCTGTATTTGGTTCCAAAGGGGGAATAGCAGACAGGCAGACAAGATAGTCAGGGGTATACAGTGATTGCTGCAATCACTTCTGCATCGGGCTTAGGGTGTCTCACACGTTCTTTTCTTTTCCCACAAGGATTATCTTCCAGTCTTGTTGAGCATAAGGTTGCCATCTCGTCTAATGTTTCCCTCACATGTTCTACCACTTGATAATTAGCAAAGCTAGCCATTAATTATTGTACTGACTCTGTAATTACCTTTGATTAGTATCTCTGAAAACCCTTGGGTTTCCAAATTGCTTTCTGTAACAACTGTGTTCTTCAAGAGACTATCATTACGGAACAGTTACCCCATGGTACTGTATGGCATAGTTTGCATACAGCAGTCATTGCATGAAGACCTGAGCAGAGAACACATACATGAGAAATCGCTGTTAGCTGAATGCTCTATCCATTCAGCAAAAGCCAAAGGATCTTATTTAGATTGTGAATGGATTTTTCTCTTTTTAAAGAGACAGTGAAACAACCCAAAAGGTTGGAACTATTACTTTAAATTGGTTATGTGATGTTTCAGATTTCAGTTCCTGTCATTTTTACTCTTTGCTTGATGCCTACTTTCCTTTCAGCTTGGGCAGTTGGCAAAGGCAATTAGTTAAATCATTCTGAAATTGCAAAGCGATTGCAGATGAAAGGGGCTGTTCAGCATTTTCCAGAGAACCAATTCAGCGTGAGGGTCTTGTCTCCTCCTTTGATTCCACTGTTGTCAAAGCCTTACAGGTCTATATTTTTACCTTTTTAATATATGTAAGCTGTACTTGCAGAAAATGAGCAACATCTTTCATATAGCATGTTATTTTTAGAATTTAGTGATAGTAATCCCAAGTCCTGAACTTGTTCAACTGAAGATCTTGTCTGTTCTTCATGGTTTTTGCAGTGCTTTCTCAAAGTAACACGTGAGATCAAGTGACTCTCCAGATTATCTGTCAGTGGTCACTTTGCATCTTCAAAGGTCTTTTGCAGTTCCCTGGTATTGACTGTTTGTTTTCCTAACTTAAGCAGGTTAAACCTCGCATGGAAGGTAATAATTTTGCCACTCTCCCTCCAAAATCTCCTTCTCATGGCATCACAGGAGATGAGGATAGTTTTGGCACCCGTAAAGCCAGATCTTCTTTTGGACGGGGCTTTTTCAAGATAAAAAATAATAAGAGGACCGCAAGTGCCCCCAATCTAGGTAGGTATTGTACACCTAGATGCAGGTCATGTATGTGTTGAGCAATGTTTCTAATAACAGGGAAATTAAGGTTTATTTTTCTGAGTGATGTAACTGTCCTAAAAAGCTGAAAAGCCAGCCTTCATCTTGTTTATGACATGGTGGTGTTTTTCTCGATAGAACGGTTGGAAAAACTCAAGAAAGAGCAACAGAAAAACAGAGAGAACCTCACTGATGTAACAAAGTAGTTGGTCTGTTTCCACCTGTGCTGTGTTATCTCCCCTGAGACCATGTAATGCATTACTGCAGTTTTCAATTGCTGGCTGTCTAGCCAGCAACTCAAACGTGGGATTCGTGGATATCTTTTCCCTTGGCTCCATCTCCAGTTTATCTTTCGTAAGATTTTCTGATGTACAGAAATGAGGCAGCTGCACTCAGTCTTCCTCTTTGTTTTATTTGTTTATGTAGTCTTGCAAAAGGGATTGTGACAACAGGAACACTATTGGTAAGGTTATTTAACCTCATTTTGAGTTCTGGACTCATGTAGGAGGGTTTTCTGTTTTGGTCTTGTCAGTTGCGCAGTGAAGAAATGAACAAAATGTTCTGCTTAATACAGTATTTGCTTTTACCAGCAGTTGAAACCTAACTTGCATTAGCTGATTTGCTCCAGTATTCTTTCCACGTCAAGTTCAATCATCGAGTGAGTCCATGAATCAGAACTATTGGCATTTATCTACAATTTTTGGCTCTGTTGCACAACAGAGTTTGTTTGGAGTTCAGCTCTGTCCTTCAGAAGCATAAAGGCAGATAATGACTTCTATGTTGAGAAAAAATCTATTGCTTTTACTTGTCGATGACCATCTTTTTTCAAATGAAGCAACATACCCACACATTTATTATGCATTGCCCCCCCCATTTTATTTTCCCTTATCATATGGTATGGGAACTTGCTAGAGTACTTGGGGTAGATGTGCAGTCTGTTCTGAGGGTTAGACTCTTTGCTTTGGTTTATTTTGTCTGTGTTTGTGTGTAATCACCTGTTTCATCCTGTGATTAATTTGTCTAACAAGATGGAGGTCTTGTGGCTGTCCTAAAGGATTGGAAGATGAGCCGTCTAGAGCAGGCTCCTGTGAATTTGAATGATTTGTTATCCAGATTTCAGTGCATCCACCTATAAAGTTGGTGCCCAGATTCTTGCCACCTCACAGGAGCCCGTGTGAGTCGCAGAGTGGGTGGCCTCCCTGCACTGCAAGGACTGAGGTGCTGCTTTCCCTCTCCAACAAGGAGCTCTACTGCTTTTATTTTCTAAGAGAGAGATGAGCAGTGAATTGTTTATCCTATTCTCTGTGTGATTCATTGCTGTGTGTGACGCATGCGTCTCATTTACCTCCTTCCTTTTGTCTTGTATTTTGTTGATGTAAGTTTTGAATTATGTTTTACCTTGTCCTTCTGCGTGTTCTCTCCCTTTGTGCTGCGTGTGGTTATGTGCGTTGTTTGGATATCTGAAGATCGCAGTCGAAGTGCAAGCGCCCCTACTTTAGGTACAGTAATCCTGCATGTCTGCCTGTGTCAGCAGCTGTGCTGTGGCTGTTGCTGATGGCTGGTTATAGCCACGCACTTTTCAAACAAAAGCTAGACACCAGAGCTCTGCATCAAACTCTTGTGCATCACTAAAAGGAGTTTTCATGCAACATCTGTCCTCTGCTAAAAGTCAGCTGTGCCATTTCTTGATAACTGCTACTAATGAGATTGCGGGTTAATTTGCAGAGACCTGTACTGTAACTTTGAGCACAAAATTACTTACAGACCAAGGCAGCAACAGGGAAAACAGCAGTGTATGAACACCAGGAGTGCATCTGTGCTGTTATCCATAGATAACATATGGATAATGTGTCATAGAGCCCCCCAGGAAAGCTTGAAGGGTTGTGAAACAGGGAATTGAATGTGCTTATATCTCAGGAATTAATTTGGGGGTACTCTGAGTGAAAGAGTAAGTCCTCTTCTGAGAAATAGCTACGTTTATTATGTAGTAAATGAATGAGAAATAACTGGGACTGATTTAGATGGAGCCATTCATATGGTAAAAACTGCTCATGTGATGTGAGTGTTCCCTGGGTGGTTCTGGCAAGGGCAGAGAGAAGCAGCAGGGCCAGGTGCTAGCAAGGGGAGCTGTCTCAGCTTTGTTTAGCAGGTGTGGTGGCACAACAGTCGCATGTGGCCCTTGCTGACAAAGAGACACAAGTCCTCTTGGTCCTTCCTTGGTTTACCTTGGTTGGCTCCTCTTAGGGGTTATGCATCTGGGAGCAAGGTGTGTGGAGCAAACATTGCAATACCCGCTAATCTCTGCTACTAATTAATCCACCTTGTCCTAGTATTCTCTCTTTAGAGTGCTGTTTAAAGATGTATTTTTCATTGTTTTTTCTAAGCTAGGACTTTTTCTTACACAAGTAAAGCAGAATCCACAAGTGCAAAGGCTTTGTTTGATGTGCTGCTCTCTCTCACCAGCAAGACTGCCTTGTTATTCTGCAGCAGTCAAACCACAGTGCCCCAAAATCATCTTGCATATGACCTTGTTCCCTCACTACAAGGTTTTCACTTTCATTGAAAGAAAATGGGACAAGTTCATGCATAGTCCATCTAAACGCCTAAAACTTTGCCCTGCAGGAAAATACTCTTGAGACCGTGTGTCCCAGCAGTATATGCTCTAGCTCAATTCGTATGATTTGTTTGGTTTTCTCCTGCAAGTTTGAGGGTCCGTTTGAAAGACACAACAGTCATCTTATTACATGGCTGTGTGAAAAGGTGGTAGAAGTGGCTGCAGGCCTGACTGCCGGCCTGCTGCAGGCTGCCTTGCCACGGCTGCTTCATCTCAATAAGCTTGTGTTGACATTGTTCCTCAGCAAGCATCATCAGCTCCACATGGTGACTTTCTTCAGCTACCTGGCACTTTGCTGGCACACCTCTGCTTATGTAGTCTTATAGATATTGCAATTTGTTTACTTTTCTTTTTAAATGGTCTTACGTAGTCTTATGCTTTGTTATTTCAGCTTTTACTGAACGGTGTTGTCACAATTTCACTTTCATAGACAGGAACCTTTAGGTTTGTTGTGAACAGAAAACAAGGGCTACAGATCAAACTTTTCATGTGGGAGGTAGTGTGTAGGCTCTGTGCATCCCTTCAAAGGAAAAATGCAGTTCATAGTGTAGACTTCATGATATTTCTCTGCAGAGAAACAAAATGCTTCACAGCCAGGAGAAAGCTTTGTTTCCACCAGCAAGGTGAAAGGGCCCTCCTGCTCCTAATGTGGGAGGAATTATTCGTTGCTGGAATTTCCTCATCAGGGAGCACAGAGATAATGGAGGTAATTAGGAAGGTTGCCCACTGGGAAATAATTTATTTTTCTGTGCTCTGGGGACTCCTGGTTGAACTCCTGCCATGGACTGATTTATTCCTGGGAGATGGTCCCCAAAAAAGAGTGAACCTGGGATTTGATTCATTGATCAGTTCACCAAATATTTGTTGCCTGGTTTGGATGCAAGGCACTCAGCTAGTGCAGGGCTTTGCCTTGCCCCTACAGTCAGGCCCATGAACAAGAAGCACGTTTTATTTCTCTTGTTTTTTTCACATCACTCTTTGCCTCATTTTATTAACATGGAGGCTATCAGTAATTTTAGCAAGAGTCATTCCAGAGTTCAGGAGTGAGCCTGTACAGTCCTGCAGAAGTAAGCCTTGACAAAGCTTTGTTTTCTAATAGCGGAAACAGAAAAAGGATCTGCAGATCACCTGGATCTAGCTGGTTTGCCCCCTCGACCAAAAGAAACAGATAGCTTGCAGATGACTCCACCTTCTCCAGATTCCAGGAAGAAGGCCAGAGGAATCAAGAAGTTATTTGGAAGGTAAGCAAAAGATGTGAAAGTATCATTCTGCAGAACTCAGGCTTGCAGGGAATCCAGCCGGGCACTGGAGTGGCTCAAGCTAATGACTCTGGGAGGAAGAAGGTGGTGGGCTTTGCTGGGGCACTGCTGCCCCTTCCATCTGCTTTATGCAGTTTTTCTCAAATGATCTTTCCTTTTTTTCCCTTTCAACTTGTGGCTCTGTAGTCTGTTCCAAGGCAGGTTGTGGACACAATTGGTGTGACCATCACAAGAGCGGGAGCTGGCATTTGAGGGACCCAGTGATGGGTCAGTGTTGGGTGGAGGAAGGGCTACAAATGCCAAAGGAAATCTTGCCTGTCTTGGTCACAGTGGTAAAAGCATACCTTTTCCTTAGGCACATGTTAATATGCTTCCTTTCTTTAATCCAGACTTAAAAGAAGTCAGTCTACAACCTTCAACCCAGATGACATGTCAGAAACGGAGTTCAAAAGAGGAGGGACAAGAGCAACTGCAGGGCCACGGCTGGGCTGGTCTAGAGACCTGGGGCAGTCTCGCAAGTAAGACAATCGGTGGCTAAGTGTGCTGTGCATGCCTTCCTGGCAGCTCCAGTCAGGTGCGGGATTAAAAGGAGGAGTGCAGTGCCAAAATAAAACATCTCTTCTCCTGGTGAATGGAAACAGGTGGATCCAGGCTGTTTCCTCCCTTGAGAGATGATTTTGGCAGGGATGAGGCTGATTGGTGGTGGGAGTCCAGGTTCCTATTGCTGAGTGAATCTTGAGTGCATCTGCAAGGCTGTGCGAAGTGGAACGCGAGCCCTCATGTGGCAGTGACAGATATCCTCCAGTGTGTTTCCTGCTGCATTTCTGGGATTACAAGCAAAAATGATAGATTACAGTTCTTCTTTAGCGTTTTAGCTACTCTAGGCAGTAAGGGCAATTATGTCAGCAGTATTAGTAGATAGTGTTTGTTGTGGTGGTGACAAGAGATCAGCACAGCGCAACATGGTGCTGACAGTTCAGAGGTAGAGACACTCTTTCTCATAAGGCTCACCTGATTGTGGTGCATGTTCTTCCCTGGAGATTATCCCAGCTCCCACAAAATACCTATGAATGAATGGCTCAGATTTTGGTTGTTTTATTGGGTATGAAAGCAGGAAATTTGAGGCATGGGATTTATCAGTCTCTTTTTTAAAAAATCTTCTGTAGTGAGCTGGACATGCCATTTGCAAAGTGGACAAAAGAACAAGTTTGCAACTGGCTGCAGGACCAGGGGCTAGGCTCTTATATAAGTAACGGCAGACACTGGATACTATCTGGGCAAACCCTTCTGCAGGCCTCTCAGCAGGATCTGGAAAAGGTGAGAAGTACTAGAAACACTACTTTCAGTTCAACTTAAAAGAATGCTTTTAGCTAAACAATTCTTTTAACCTTGCCTGCCTAGGTAGGAGTGGAAAGTAATCCAACCAAGTATTTTTCTGAATACTGACACATTTTAAATTATTTGTGTTTTGTGTTTTTGGTTTTTTTTATATGCAGCCTCTGATATGAGAGTGCTAAGTTTGATATTTTCATATAGTTTTAAAGAACCTGCATTCCTTAATCCACTGCGGTGAGCAGGTGTTTCCTAAAGCTGAGTGTGTGCTGAGGTGGTGTTGGTACTCAACAAATAGAAATACAGCACTTGCTGGTGACTTGGCAGATGTATTCAGTGAGACTCTCTGAAACAATTCTTATTTCTTACGTAACAGACTAATAAATAAAATACAGTATTGTATCAAGCTTTGCTCTTTCCTTTCTTTCACAGGAGCTTGGGATAAAACACCCATTGCATCGGAAGAAGCTTCAGCTTGCTCTGCAGGCTCTTGGGTCTGAAGAGGAGAACAATCATGGAAAACTGGATTACCATTGGGTTACCAGTAAGACTGTAGTACATGCTGAATCAGCAGCTTTTTGTAGGGCTTCCTAATCATGTCAAGTGTAGGGTTCAGAGAGTGAGAATAACACCTAACTGGTGGTGTGGACATGGTTGCCATCAAGAAGAGCTTTGCCATGTTAATGTTGGTTCTGTCTCTTTGTTAGGGTGGCTGGATGACATTGGCCTCCCCCAGTATAAGACCCAGTTTGATGAAGGAAAAGTGGACGGCCGCATGCTCCATTACATGAGTGTAGTGAGTAAATGGCTTTTCTTGTCTTGACGTCTTTGTCATGTTCTTAGTTTTTACTGACATTTAATGCACACTAACATTCATCCAGACAACTCACTGAAAATCATGAGTCTGGAGAGATCTCCTGCATAGCTGTTAGATTCACTTAACACTTAAACCTCTTCCACTTAGCCCTTCTGCAGGAGCATCCATCAGCCAAATTGTGGCTGACCTCACAAGCACCCCATTAATAGAGCACTGGAGGGCACGTGGGGCTGCTAGGGCATCTCTGACATTGCAGACAGCCACTATCACATCCCTCTGGGGCTAGCAGAACCAAACAGACTTCTTACAGGGCCAGTCTGTGAGGAGCCAGGTCACGGCAATCTGGCCTGTAGCTTCCTAGAGCAAAAAGTTGGCACATGAGCCACGTGGTCACCATATGCAGGCTTGACTTTTGTCCCAGATAGACAGGATCTGAAAAGAAGCTCAAGCTGGCGGTTACTCTTGCAGAACTTACACGTACATGTACATGATGTACCAGATGCACAGAGCTCACTCCAACAGCTGACCATGTCTCATGAGATGCTACTGTTTTCAGAGCAAAGTTCATAAATTGGGAAAGGAAATTCTCTGCATAATTGCAGGGAGAAAATCAGGAGAGTTGAGAGAGTCATAGACACTGTTAATGCTGGAAAGATATTCCAGGATCCTTGATTTGTGCACGCTACCTCGGAGTGTTTAGAAGGCTGCGTGAAAATGTAGTGAGTGTCCTGTGGCCAAACTAATGCTAATAGCCATAACCTAAAGTAAACAGAAGCCCTGACAGTAGAACTCACCTGCATGTATTTCCTGCATTCTTTCCATCTTTAAAGACAATATCTTAATGTGGGAGAGCAAATAGTAAGCAAAAGCCCAGACTTGGGCCCCTCACTGCAAGAAAGACATTGAGGCTCTGGAGTGGGTTCAAAGAAGGGCAACAAAGCTGTTCAGGGGCCTGGAGCACAGGGCTTATGAGGAGCTGCTGAAGGAGCTGGGAATGTTCAGTCTGGAGGAGGCTCAGGGGAGACCTGATTACTCTATAACTACCTGAAGGGAGGTTGTAGTGAGTTGGAGTCGGCCTCTTCTCTCATGTAACTGGTGATAGGACCAGAGGGAATGGCTTCAAGCTGCAGCAGGGGAGATTTAGGCTGGAGGTTAGGAAATACTACCTTTCTGGAAGAGTGGTCAGGCACTGGAATGGGCTGCCCAGGGAGGAGGTGGAGTCACCGACCCTGGAGGTGTTCAAGGAACGTTTGGATTTTGTGTTGAGGGACGTGGTTTAGTGAGAACTATTGGTGATGGGTGGGTGGTTGGACTGGGTGATCTTGTAGGTCTTTTGCAACCTTGGTGTTTCTGTGATTCTGTGATTCTGTATGTGAGAAGTGGATAATCTTGTGCTTAAGAGCTGTGCATGACATTGTCTGATATGCTCAGGCAGCAACTGAGCTGCCTACAAAAGTACACACGTGCTGTGGTTGCATTTCATGCAGCTTTTTACTGTTCAGATTAACTGTCAATTAATAGAAGTAGGTGGAATGTTTTTCTTCTCAGCGAGCCAATGTTGTCTAGTTATCTATTCATGTGGATTCCTAGCGTAAGAAAACCAAAGCAATTGCAGTTTTAAGAGCCAGCTTGTTTGAAAACAGGATTCATTATTAACATTTGCATTATGTATTTAAAAATGTACAGCATGGTGTCAGCTCCTCACTTTACTGCCTGTCAAGTGAAGCCAACCGGTTCTTCTCTGGAGATGTAAATGAAAACTGAACGTTGCCAATATTATTTTCTTCTTTGTAACAAAGGAGAAATCAGTCACACCCTGGGCTCTGTAGAAGTTAACTATTTTATGCCATATTTGCATGTTTTGTATGTTCTTTACGTTAGATTGACTACCTGACATGATTGTGCTGTTCAGTGCATTTCAGACAAATGCTTAGTACTGGCTGCTTACACAGTGTTTTCACGTTTGTTGGCTCTAGTTTATTGAATTTGCACATCAATATGAAAGTAAAGGCAGCTTGTTTCTTCTGTTAAATCTTGGAGATCTGATGCCAGTAAGTTCTGCTGAGCTCAGTCTCGTGTTGCGATGCTTTGTTGCTGTACTGAGTGGGTGAGCACTGGGTATTGGTAAAATGCAGCATAGGCAGCAATGTGAAGGATCTTCACGTTATGCTTTTTTTACTCTACATGTTAGTCTTCTTTTTCTAAAAAGAAGAGAATCCATCTGATGGGTGGACAGACGAGGAATAGGCAGTGGAAGCTTTGCCTTTGAACTAGACAACTCTCCCTGTCAGTTCCTTTTAAATTAAATCCCTAGGAATTTTTTTAAGCAGTGTTTAACCATGAAGTTACAACAGCAGATTCTGTGTAAATAATCAGCTAAGTACAACTGTATGTAAAATGAGAAAGAAAACTTCTAAAAACCACATGGAAATTCACCCTTACTCAAGCTAAAATAATGAAATAACATGAAATAGAAACTCTAATCTTAAGTTCATCATAAGGTTAGCCAAAAGCAATGAACTGTTTGGACAAGCATATAATTTAATCTTCACTTATTCTGGCAAAATCATAAAACAGTCTGCTGTTTGTAACACACAAGTGGTGTTAACACATAGCAATCTAGGTTAACCCTAGCAATAAAGATACATAAATTCACTTGTCAGCCAACTTGCACCAACAAAGTACCAGACTTTGAGACACTTAGTGACATAATAAGGATTGAATTATAACTGAGGAGCCTAGTTTAGCAGGAATACAGATCTCACAGCATGTGACCACTTTTGCAGGTTAGGACAGGTTCTTTGTTTGCAACCCTTCCTGGAGCTATGGGTCTGGATGATCTGGGAAGTCTTGCCAGGCTGGTCACTCAATCCTGTGTAAACATTTCCCACGTATGAGCTCCATGAATGAGAAAGAATCTGTTTTGGTTTTGACATGCTACATTGCTGGGGCTAGACATTGGAGTGAAATCAGAGAGAGGCAAAAAGGTGTCATCTTCTGTATTGCTCATGCTGCAAGGTTGTCAGCAGGTCAGGATGTTGGGTTGTACCAACAATCTTCAGTAACCTGTGAGCCTCATCTAAATTGTGTATCTTGTTTACTGTTGTTCACCACATGTGTCCTGTGAGTTAAGTTCTCTTGGTTGCCAACAGTCTCTCCTTCTCACTTATCAGAGATTTAAAGGAGCTCTGAGTACCAGGAGGTGTAATGGAGCAAAACTGCTACTTGCTGCTGTAATTATGAAGGGGGAAACTTGCTCTTCCCAGCTTTTGACATCTGAAAGCTCCTGGTCCAGCCAAGGGCTGTAGTTGGTGTCAGTGCAGGGAGAGCAGGCTTTGTGAGGCAGCGTCTCATTCCTTGATGTGGCAGAAATTGTCCTCAGGAGATGTCTGACTCTTTCTGTGAAGGCTGGTGGGAGCCTAAATAGCTGATCTGTATGAGCTGTAAAAGGAGTTCTTCTGTGAAATTAATGTTGAAGTAAAAGTTGTTGAGAGGATTAAGATTTTAGAGAAAGAACTGGCTGCTTTTGTTAGTATCACCGATGCTTTGCAAGGGGGAGTGTGGGGTTGTATCTTGGCATGCTCTTGCCCTGCTGAAGGTGAGAAGGGATTCATCCTTACTGAAAAAGATCTGGCTGTGCAGTTATGCCTTACAGTACCTTGTCACAGAGGCAAGCACCAGGCCACCTATGGGATGGATGGCTTGGCATTAATCCCTTGTCTCATGCATTTAAATTCTAGGATATACTAGATGTGACATTTTAAGCCACAGTTCAAAGCTGTTGAGGAAACTGAGTGTTGGTTCCACTACTAAGTGCTTTTGTGTGTATTAAATCCTCCTTCCTCTTCCACAGGATGACTTGCTGTCCTTGAAGGTTGTCAGTGTCCTCCACCATCTCAGCATCAAAAGAGCTATCCAGGTTCTGAGAATAAATAACTTTGAGCCCAACTGTCTGCGCAGGAGGCCATCAGATGAGGTACTGCTTTAGGATGGAACTGTGAAGAAGAATCCTGTAGGGTTTTTTCTCAGTGTTTTTGACTATTCCTCCTCTACCCTTTCTTCTTATATTGGTTGCTTCCTATTTTATTTCAGTTTTGGTTTCTTTTTGTCATTTTATTCCCAAGATTCATGTCCTGCTGAGGCTACCTTGAACGCAACTTTTTATCCTTGACCTGCTGTGGCCCCAAAGTCATGTCTCCTTACCAAATCTCACATTCCTTCTTGCTAAACAAGTGTCCTTAGTCTTTGATGTGTTTTCTTCAAAATAAATAGTACTGAACTTGGTGCACAGCTTCTGTCAGGCTAACGTAACTGTGAAGTCTGTGGCCTTGTCAGAATTTTCTCTGTAAAACAAGTTTAGTCTTATCAGGCAGGAAACTGCCACTGATTTGTGTTGGAAAGAGCATACACCAGCTAGGGCAGTGGATGATGAAGCAGCCCAGAGCCTTCTATTTAGATTCTAATGCATATCTGCAGAAAAAGCACACCAGCTTATGGAGCTAGCTAGTTTTCAGCTCTACTTGTAGAAATTGCAGCTAATCCTACTGTGCAGCAAGATCCTCAGACTGCATGAAGAATGATACAGACCTGTTCACTGCACTCAGGAATATAGCTCATGTTGTTTGGCACAACCATCCTGCAAGCAGAGCAGGAAAGATGATCGCTTCCCAGTAGGATAAACACAAGCTAAGCTGCTGTGATAAGCTCTTGGCTTGAAATTATTAGAAGGATACTGTGTTATGAGTAAGTAGTGCTTGAATCTGACTGATTTCAAGCCCTTCTGCCTCGATGGAAGGCTTTAGATTTTTCCTGCAATGATCAGAAAAGTGTCAGAAGGATATCTTCATGTCAGTGTCTCCATCAGCTAGCATAAATATTTTAACTCTTAAGTGAAGAATCAGCTTAAGAAACTCAGAGGGGAGCTCAGCATATTGTATGCAATGCTGAGATAGAAGATTTCTCATGAAATTGTGATTTACATCTGCTCTGAAACCTTTCAGTGCTTAGAGGAATGTATGAGATTTGGTCCAGACCCAATTCTACTTCAGTATTGCTGCAAGACAGCAATCCAAAGAAAGCAGAAATCTGTTTTGTTTTGTTTTTTATTTCCTCAAGAGCAAGGTGGGGTCATATGCATAAAGGGCAGGGGAGGTTTGTGTCAGTAAAGATTGGGGCTGGGGCATCTGTGTTGGGAAGCCTCCTTAACTGCCTGTTCCTCCTGTTCACAGAATAATGTCACACCTTCTGAGGTCACCCAGTGGACCAATCACCGCGTGATGGAGTGGTTACGCTCTGTTGATCTGGCAGAGTATGCACCTAATCTGAGGGGGAGTGGTGTGCATGGGGGGCTGATGGTAAGATACGCACAGGCTTACTTTATTTGATTTAAAGTAAATCATGACTGAGAATTACTAGTTCTGTCATCTTTGCTGCACACATACTTCTATCTTCTTTTTCTTCTTAATAATAAGTTGCTGTCAATATTTATTACCCAATAGTTTTAAAGGCACTTTTAAAAGGCCTAAAAGTGGCTTGGACAAAGTTTGTTTGGAAAGCAGTGAATTTGTTTGCCTGCATCCCCTTCACAATTTAATGGCATTTTCTACCTCCTACCTACAGCACAATCATGCTATTATACAACCACCATTTTCCTTCCTACATGTGAACATGTTTTTATTTTTGTGGGGAATGCTTGATTCTTTAGGAAAACCTGGAATTTCAGTGTCAAAACAGTATTGTTTTTAATTTCTCTAGCATGAGATCCTCCAGGCTAGAGATTTATGCTTGTAGAAGTGTGTAGTGGATGAAACTTCTATCCCTTTTCCAGAAATTTTATGTTTATTTTCCATCATTCCTTTGACTACATTTTCCAGAATTAAAGAGGATGCTGGATAAACATTTTGCTAGAGCTTTCCATATCATGTGATCTAAGGGTGGATTTAGCTCTTCTTTCTATTTGCCAGTTTCCTTCTGTTTATAATTCAAGAAAGAAAGGCTGAAAATAGCATTCTATGAATCCTTTAACTCTCTTTTCTCTGTCTTAGTTGTATATTTTCTCTAAATTAAAAACCCAAAGCAACTTTAAAAAGTGACTGAGCCACATGCCCATCAGCGTCCTTGAGACCTCATCAGACAGTGTTGACATCAGCTGGACTCTGTGGTTTTGTTAATAGGTTTTGGAGCCACGTTTCAATGTAGAAACCATGGCCCAGTTGCTGAACATCCCACCAAACAAAACACTGCTGCGACGGCACCTAGCCACTCATTTCAACCTCCTCATTGGGCAGGAGGCCCAGCAGCAGAAACGTGAAGCCATGGAGTCCCCAGACTACGTCCTCTTAACAGCAACTGCTAAAGTTAAGGTAGGCCACTTGTTCTGGGTTCATATGTGAGCTTCCAGCAGACATTTAGATCTCTGGTGTGTTAGTTTTATCCATTCTTGGAGGGCTGTTCAGTAAGGTTGTTTGAGAAACAGGGTTGGCTGCTAATGTGATAACAAATGAAAAAGCATTAGAGCAGGACTCAGCAGATATGGGTTTGACTCTTTTGTCTGCTGTGAGCACACCACATCTCAGCTCCTCATACGTGCCAAAGAGAGATGGCACTCTTGTGGGTTGTCCATCTGACTGTATGATAACGTGCTTGGGACAGAGGTGGTCTCTTACTGTTTATATGCTCGTGATTTTGTGCAGTGGGATTCTGATAACATTTGGGATCCTTTAAATACTATTTTTGTAGTAATGATGGAATGAGGGATGCATCTTGTTCTTATGGATACAGCTGGAACTGCAGCTATTCAGAAAGCTGTAAGCAAAGCGGTGGAGTCTTAACCCTTCAGCATCTGCTTACATTGAAGCATCAGTTGCAGAGACACCTGTTACTTCTTCGCTGACTCTTAAGTTTTTGTGAATTTTCTTTTCACAAGCCAAAGAAACTTGCCTTCAGCAATTTTGGGAGCCTGAGAAAGAAAAAGCAAGATGACGTGGAAGAGTACGTGTGTCCTATGGAGCTGGGGAGGGCCTCTGGAAGTGCATCGAAGAAAGGTTTTAAGGCTGGCCTGGATATCCGAGTATATGATGATGATGATTTGGACAGGCTGGAGCAGGTAAAACTGTAGTACTTAAATGTGCTGTTAGATTTGATGGGAAACTTCTCTTTCACAATGAAACCTTTCCATTCCTTTAGCCTGTGAAGATTCTCAGTTTTGACAGTCACAAAGCATTACTCACAAACACAAACATGTCTCTCAGCCCAAGTACTGCAAGCCACGAATGCAGCAGCTGTAAGACTGTCTCTGACATAACTCATCTTCTGCCTCAACAGGGCACACTCATCCCTCACTCTGAGCATGTGGGACTGTAATAAAGCACTTACATTATTTGCTGAACTTAATTGCCACTGCACGCAAGGGATTCATTATTCATTCATTATCCATTATCTGTTTTTTTTGCAGATGGAAGATTCAGAAGGGACAGTGAGGCAAATAGGAGCATTTTCTGAAGGCATCAACAACTTGACAGTAAGGCTTAAAACTGTGATCTGTAGAATAAAAAGTCTTTTTCTGTAAAAATGAATTTGACTCTTCCCTCATTTCCTTTCTAGCACATGTTAAAAGAGGATGAAATGTTTAAAGACTTTGCAACTCGCTCTCCTAGCACCAGTATAACAGATGAAGACTCCAATGTGTGACAGCAACCAACAGGCACTGATGAAGGCTCACTTCCTGTGTGCAAGAAACGTCATCACTAGATGTGATGGGCAGCAGATCATATACACTATGCTGCTCTTGCTTCTGTTTGTTAGAAGTAATACTGGGGGGTGGAAAATTTAAAGAAGAACTGAAAAAAAAAAATAAAAAAAGGTGCCTACTTTAAAGTTGCCATAAGAAACACCCAGACACTGGTGAATGGAAATTGTTTTTACTATATTTAATGTACAAACTGGTGATATGTTTCAGAGTGTTGCATTTAAATTGACATGGTATCATAGTGCTCCTTTTTCTTATTCATGTCCTGAGATGATCCTTTGTACTATTACAAAGTAAAGCAAATTGTTAGATAGAAAAGCATTGCACCTGTAGTTGTCAATCAGCTTTCTCTTATTGCTGTCTTTTTCAAAGGCCTTTGCCCCACGCAAATGCTAGTTCTGCCCTTCCTTTGGTATCCAACATAGGATTTTAGCCCTGCATAATCTCCCCAGTAGCTCTTTACTGTTGCTTTTATTTTTATACTGTTTTATAAAAAAAAAAAAATTAAAAAAAAAAAAAAAAGAAGTATATGAAGTACATCTAAAAGCAAAAATTTAAATTTTGTGACGTAGAGTAATGGAAAGTTCAAGGTAAGGGGAAGGGGGAGAGAACTGTAAAAGATTATCCCAGTTTGCACACCAGCTGGTTACTGGAAAAGGCAGGCTGACCTTTGGAACTGTTTGCTTTTGTTGCTTTTTACTGAATTCACAGTTTAATGATCTTCCATTTGGGATGGAACAGTTGTGAAGCATGTTTCTTCTAGCAGTGACTCCTTGGGAAGCTGCAAATTTCAAAATGTCTTCTTTCTTGTTTCCAGCAGCAGTAGTTTTATAGCATTTGAAGTTAGTAACACTTCCGTGACTTAAAAATGTTCTGGAGAGTTTTTCTTCAAGTTGAGAGTACTCCCTGCACGTGGAAGGGATGTTTCTGTGCTGTGACTAACGTGAGGATGGTGTAGTTGCAAACAAAGTTATATAGAGAAATGTATAGGAAATATATTATTTCATTATATTAAACCCAAGGTGGAACTTTTCCTTAAAAAATCCAAATATCAAACGTGTTGCTCATCATTTTGCCTTCTTAGAGCATAACTATTTTTCCTTAAGGTCATCAGACTTTAAAAACATTAACTAGCCAGTGGAAGTTTGTTGTCAGGCTTTCTGTATTGCAAGATGTCCTAGCCAAAGCAATGAAAAAGTAACTGTTTATTACAGCAGTCTTTTATACAGTGTTGAACATAGCATGTATTTTAGCACAATAGCATGAAGCTTCTTTGCCTTGTAATGGGAAAAAAAAGCCCAGCTGTTCTTTTTGAATACTGTTTGGCTTTTACAAGAATGTGTCGCTCGTTTCATCATTGCCCGTGCTGGAAGTGAGATCATGGCTGACACACTGATATGTGGTGTCACGGATCATGGATTTGTGCTGGTCCTGTGGGTAGGAAAGGAAGGAAGGGGATTCCATGGACCTTGGAAGGTAGACCAGAGATGTGTTCTAGCACTCTACTGTTGTAGCCTTATGGGCTGTAACCAGTCAGGTTGGTTTTTTTGTCATTGTTGTTTTTATTTTTTTGAAAGATGTGCAGTTTGGGCTAATTTTCTTGTGCAAAGAAGAAAACTGTGATGTGGATCAGTTGTGTTATATACAATATCAAGTGCTGCCATTCTCTCTTCAGTAGCTGGAGCCAGGCAAGTGAGCCATACAATCATGAAGCAGTTTGTGCCACTTTACATTTGTGTACAGGCAGATCACACCTGGTGCTTTATTCAGAACTTCGGACTGAGGAGCACTCACAAGTAATTTGCTGCCTGTTGTTTCTTCTGCAGTTCTGGGGGTGGCTGAGCTATTCCAAATAGGCAGAACCGCCCCACTCTGCAATGCCTGCTCGCCACTGTCAGGCACAAATCCTCATGGTGTCTGTTCAGGGCTTGCTTTCTGTGAGTACTTTGCAGTGCTTGGCCCAAGATCCTGCTCTGCCACATGCAGCAGAAGCACTGGAAGACATAGTGCAGGCTTCTGAGCAGAAGTATTCCTTCAGATTCTCCTGAGCAGACGCTGGCTAGTGGACACAATGAATGAATATTCACAGTAGAAAAGGGACTAATGACACTGTGCTATGTGTTGAAACAGGTACAAGCAAATGCTCTGAGATTTTTTTCTCACGCTGGTGCTGTTAACAAGCCTAGCAGCAGCAGCAGACAATCATTTCTTAAGTCCACTGTAAGTAAAGTTCTGCTTCAGACACCTTGTTTCTGGGTCTCCTGGGTGGAGAACAGGTTGTCATTCAGAGCTGCCTATCAGCTGAACTATGGCTGTTTTGTGGGGACCTGTTAGGAAAGCATTGGTAACAGTGGGAGATTTTTGCGTGCATGTGCACACAGCTGATACCGTTGTGGTATTTTGTGTTTTTGAAGAGGGCAACGTAACTACTGTGTATTGCCATGTAAAATCCAATAAAAATCTGTGGAAAATGCCAACTGCTTCTGGTAAGTTTTGGTGTGGGTTTGTTTTTGGGGTTTGTTTTTTTTTTTTGGTAATGCACCCCTAATTTCTTTTTTTTTAAAATTCCTAGGAAGCTCATTGTGTTCTACTTAAAAGATGAGGGACAAGGGGCAAACAAAATCACAGGCAGGATTCACCAGTTCATCTGTTGATGGTGCCAGCAGGAAGAGTCAGGTAACAGTCAAGAAATACGCAGGTTTTTTTGTTGATTTTTGAGATCCAGATTTGATGCACACTAGGTTGCTGGGCATGACAAGGAGGTGTCCCAGCCCCTGTCTGCTCCTCAGTGAGCCCTCGTAGGGTGTTGGAGGACCAGCAACGTTCGTCTCCATTGCAGAGAGTATCTCCAGCCCCAGGAGTCATCATCCTTCCCCATGTCCTTGTAGCCCTCAGCAGCTCTAGAAGTACCAGTTGTCTTCCCCACTTTGTTGCTGGGATGCAGGTACAGATGATGATAGATGTTTTGCTCGGAGTAGCCCAGGTAGCAGTGCAGAAACTGCAGAATTCCTCCCTCTTCTGACCCTCATTTCTGTTCGTCGGGTCAGCTTTTTTGTGTTAACACTTGGGATAAATGCTTTGAAATCTAGAGCACAGTATACCATTTTCGTCTTTATAGTGACACGAAGCTTTATTCTTCAGTATTTTGGCATTTTCTTTTGCAGCAAGAGCTTTTCCTATGGAGTCCCTTTATCATCTTCTTCCCATTGGAGGACAGCATTCTTTGATGCAGCTGTGAAAATGAACACAAGCCCATAGAATTGCTAGACGATTAGGAGAAAAAGCTGGCAAGGAGGGAGTGTTGGTTGCTGGGGAGTGCTGATGTAGAAAGGAGGAGAAATTGAGAGTTAGAATCAGAGGTAATGGGAGACTCAGCAGTGTATCCCCTGCTGATTGCTGTAGGATAGTCACAAAGGAATGGAGGTGAGACAAAGAGACGTGAAGATCTGTGGGAGAAAAGAAATGTAATACTTAGGGCATAGTCTGTTTTCTGGAGAGAGGGACCCAAGTGTGACCAACCTGAGATGGGGTGTCTCTTGGGGGTTTCAGGAACACCAGGACATCTGTAGGCAGTAGAGATGAATCACAGAATGGAATAGGTTGGAAGAGAACTGAAAGCCCATACAGTTCCACCCCTCTGCCACGGGCAGGATTGCCATCCACCAGATCCAGGAAGGCTGGACACTTCTCAAGGAGGTGTTAGAGATGCAGGGGCAGCCTCCAGTCAACCTCTGATCAGGCTGCCCAGGGCCCCATCCAACACTGACTTGAATGCCTCCAGGGATGGGACATCCACAGCTTCTCTGGGCAGCCTGTGCCACTGCTTCACCATCCTCTGAGTAAAGAATTTCTCACATCCTAGACTACATCTCCCCTTTTTCAGTTTAAGATCATTCCCCTTGTCCTTTCACTATTAGACCATGTAAAATGTTGGTCTTCTAGTTTATAAGCTCACTTTTACGCAGTGAAGTAAGGAAAGTTTTTGAGCAATTAGAAGAAAGAATGCAGAGAAAGATCCTTATCGCTTTTTTGTTATTCACTGAGAATGGGGAGAAGGAGGAACAAGAGCAGCACTCAGCAGGGTACAGTGTTTTCTGGGAATGCTGGTGAGATCCTGGGACAGTGAAGAGATGGTTGCAATGTATTTGCACTAGCAGCTGACCTGGCTGATGCCTCCTGCAGCAGAAACATGCAGTCCAACCTTAACAGTTATGGAAACTGGATTTTGTAACTTTAGGAATCTTGTTTAGTTCTAGCTGTGCCTGGTGTGTCACCTCTCTGAGGTAACCCAGCTGCAGGTGGCAGCAGCAGCTCAAGCTGCTCCTTTCTTTTTAGAAAGAGAAATTGGAAAAGGCTGCTCAGGGAGGTGGTGGAGGTGTTCAAGAAACATGGAGATGTAGCACTGAGGGGCATGGTTAGTGGGCATGGTGGGGATGGGCTGCTGGTTGGACTGGATGATCTTAGAGGTCTTTTAGTATTCTGTCTGAGTGGTTAAAAGAAATAGGTTAATTCATCTCTAGGTAATACCCAGTGCCAATAGAAGTGGCTTCTTTGTAGTAGTCCTAGAAATGAGAGAGTGCAAGATAAGATCAGGCTAGAATGAGATGGGATCATTGAAAGCAGGTGAGCTCAGTAGGTGTGAAAGCGGCGGGGCCTGCTGGGCTGGTCCCTGCTCAGGGAGATGCAGGGGAAACATCCTGCAGCGCTGCCTGCCAGCACTGCCAGGCTCTGCTGGGCACAGCATCTGTTGGCAGTTCTGTTCAGCCCACCCCATGGCTCTGACAGTGCTCAGTTACCACAGAACCTTCACTAAGGAAGGGATTTCCCTCAGGTTATTGTATGAGGAAATCACCTGTGCAGAGCGTGAGTCAGAAAGCATCACACGGACACAGCTGGGAACACGGCTGAAACTCATTATCCATAAAGTCTTCAGCTAAGGCATGGTCCGTTCACCTCAGAGGCTGAAGGACTAGCTTGGCTTCACAGATCCTCATACGAAGTCCTTCTGTTGAGCAGGATCCTCCTGGTCAACTTCATCAGCTTCTGTGTGGAGAAGGGAGTGGAGGAATGCATCGTGACCAGTAAAACAACCATGTAACAGGCTGTGCTCTTTGGAGTGGATTGGCTCTGGGCTCTGTTGGGTGACAAGTGCATCGAGCTGCAGCTGAGTGCAGATCCCACAGCTGGCAGAGCTCTGCCAGAGCGGGATGGCCCCACAGGAGCACTGGGGACAGCCTGGAGGCTGCACTGGTGGGCAGACACTGCTGGAGCTGCTTAGAGAGTCCAGACAAGATCTGCTGTCTGGTAGGATGGGACTGCGAGGGCTTGTTTGCCATGTTTGGCATGCCAGGAAACCTGAGGACCAAATCCTGCTGGATAACATTGTGAAGCAAGAGCAGAAACACTGCCTGTTGATCAGACAGCTTCCTGCCCACAGAGAGGTGCTGGAGATCTGCATTAGTGCAACACACGGGCTGAAGGAGGAAGGCAATCTGTCCATAAATCTCTGTAAACCTCGAGCTGGCAGCAGGGTGTCTGCAGGCCCTCACCGAAGGCTGTGGGTGGCGCTCAGCCTCGGTGGGCTTCGTGCCACACATCACTCCACCCCTATTTCTCACCTTCCCCCTCCACCCACTGTACTGCCTTCTATTGTGCAGCAGCCAATCTGACTCAGTCTGCCCAGGTTTTAGAACAACAGCACACTGTTCTAGAATACAATCTGCCAGGAAAAGTGTTTATAGAAGGCGTGGAGCCATCCCAGGACATTTTGTTCACCAACCATGGAGCCTTGGCTGGGGCCACGAAGGCTTTATCAAATGGTGCCTTCAGGAGGAGTTATTAGGCTTGGCTCAGCCTTTGTGTGCTGTGCATATAGAAAGGGCAGGCTGGTTTCTTTTTTCTTTTTTTTTTTTTAAATAGTGTGTTGAGTCTGTAATAGAGAAAACATGCTGTTACTGCTTTCAGAGTGGTGGTGCAAGTAGAGAAAAATGCAAGGGCTTCAGAACACTGTTGGAGGAATGGAGCTCGTTCTCCTAGTGAAGAACTCCCTGTCCTGAGATAGAAATGAGCCAAATGAGAGCCCTATCATCTGCCCACAGGAAGGCAACCAGCACCAGGCTGATGCTGGGACTGGAGAGCCTCAGAGCTGTGACCCAGCACTGGGCTCTGCCACAAACCCTATTCTTGCTGGTGGCAAAAAACAGCTGCAGTTGTTTAAGGAGACATGGGAAAATGAACCCATGGAGATGGGGGCTGGCATGCAGGGCAGCCTTTGTCTTTCAGTGCAGCAGAGAAGGAAGGGCTCCTGACAGCCCTGGCAGCAAGCAGAAATCTGGAAGAGGCAAGAATGTTTCGCTTTGTCTTTGGTTTTGGTATCTTAGCAGCTCATTGTGTTTATGTAGTGGTTTACTCAATTTCCCTCAGGTCTTAGCTGACAGCATTTCAGGTTGCACAACTGTAGTAGCTTTCTTCCAGCTGCTGTTAAGCAGCAAAGGAAAGAGCTCCACAGGTTTCAGGCTGGCAAAACCACAGTGTTTGTAGGCCACAGGTAGGGACTTACTGCTGAGTACGCTAACAGTTCGATGGTATTGACCTCCTGGGTGGTGGTTTTCCTTATAATTTTCTTTCTTTCTTTTAACAGAATAAAAGCAGTTTCAAAACTGTCATTCATATGTTACTGTTTAGTTTCTGAGTTATAAAATGGGGAAGCTGTGACAGCTGAGAATTAAAGGCTGTAGTCTGCACAGTCAAACAAAAGGGCACAAAGAGGTCCAGCATCAATGCAGGATGCAATAAATCCTGGCTCTGAGAGGCCAAACTATGCGAATCACATACTGGGGCAGATGGCCTCCTGACCTGATCCCCCAAAGGCTCTGCTACCTCAGGTAAGTCATGCTGCTGCATTCTTGGCGCTGGCAGGAATCAGTGCTGTGGGTAATAAAGGCAAGGATGAACAGCAAGGTATTCGGGGAAGACAGTGTGACTTTTTGCTCATTGATTCAGCCCAGCTGGTGTGTTGGCCCAAGTGATTCACAGCCAATCCTCAGGTAGTGCTTTTCACCCAAAGAATAAGAATAACAGCAGAAAACCTCACCCCCACCCTTTACTGGGGGCTCATTGGCTGTGAGAAGGGCCTCTTGGAGCACATTTCTGAAGCTGTTTCAGTTTTCCAGGTCCTGTGAGAATGTTCTCCCCTAACCTCCATCACAGGTAGGAGCTCGCTGACACCCACTCCGCTACAACTGTAAGAGAGATGAATCTGAGAATCAAAAACAATGCAAAACCAGCTTTTATTACTTGTTTAAGTGCCACAGTACAGGACCAGCAAGCAAAAGGGATCGGGGCACCATCTTTTCATCAGATTATATAAAAATCTCCTTTTTAATTAAAGAGCTTCATGTTCGCAAGGAAGATGTACAAAATAAAGTCAAAACGAATAGATTCTGGTGACAGACAGAAAACAGTGGTAGTTTAATCCTTGACTCAGCAGCTTGCACCAACCTCTCACACAAACAGTTGGGTAAACAGCAAACAGATGTTTTTAAGCATTCTGAAGTGCTCTACAGACACAGTTTGTCTCTTCTGAAGTGGAAGGTGATGGGATAAGTAACACACAGGTGAGGCACCTGCATCATCATTTATTTCTGACAGATGTGGAAAAAAACAGTAATTAGAAGAAAGGTTTAGTTATACAAAAATGTTGCCGTGTTACCAGTGAGTTATTTTTGATATGAACACTTCCTTAAATACAGTCATGGAAAAAAAAAAACCTGTTTACTCCACAGTGATGTAAACCAGCAGCAAAACAATTCATCTCCTATTTCTGCTTTTTGCCTCACAAAAAGATAAAGGAACTGACCTCTGGAGCACAATAGTAAAATGAGTTTCAGAAACGCACATCAAATGCTGAAGATTTCAGAGGCAAGTGTCTATTTAATAAACGTAATAGTATTATTCTTTGCAGGTTCCTTAAGTTAACTGTAGTATCCTTTTCTCCTTTTAATTGATGCTGAAGATTCACCTTTTAAGTGTCTACTACGCAGCTGTTGGATGGGCACAAAAGAAAGCGGGGCAAGTTACAGCCCCAAGTAGTGCCCAAATCTTTACAGAAGTGACACACATGGCACAGCACTACCTGCAGCTAACTCGCATCCACGTGACTTCAGCTGTGGTACTGAGGGACGTGGTTTAGGGGGGAAATATTGGTGAATGGGTGATGTTGGAGGTCTGTTCCAGCTCTGGTGATTCTACGACTTCATCCACCACCACCCACTATCCTTTCCCTCACTGTGATTTCATCACCAGACCACGACTTTGTCTCCTGGACTTCTTGCAGGACAGCCCCAACCTCAGTATGTGTGGATGCAGAAGGACAGCACACAGGAGGCATGAAGTTTTGCTAAAGGTCAGGTGAAAGGCTGCTGTAAAAATTATATTAAGAAACAAATGGAAGCTGTAATAAACAGCACGTAAGAAAGAGTTTTAGATTCAGAGATACATTTGAATCAGCTGTCAGTTGGGTGGCTTAAGGCTGTTCCCATGCAATCCTCTTTCTTCTTTGGAGCTCTTCCAGAGCAAGATGTGCAGGCATATCACACCTGCCAGGACCCACTGCTGAGCTGGACCACCAAATGAACCCCAGTCTGGCTAACCCAGCTCTGGGAAACAAACTAAAACCAGATCCAGTTTTCACCCAGCACTTTTTCACTGCACAGAACATGCAGAACAATCACTTTCCCACTCCTATGGTACTGCCTGTTATTTAAAAGTAAATACACACGTCAGTATTTTTTCAGTATTCAGCACACATACAAGCAAAGACTTCCAGGACAGTCAGTAAAGCACCTGCTGTCCAGAGTTTCTTTCATTGCCCAGGGATGTGAGCAGCTGGAAAAGTGTTTCCACGTAAAAGAGGCTATTCCAAAATACACAGGAAACAAATTTTATATAGCTGTCTACCCCTCTATTCTGATTAACAAGGCAACTTCCTTAAACAACTTCAGTCATACGTGGTTAATTGTCATCCTTCAAATGAACACTCTTAAGCTCCTGATGGTGCAAAGATTATGCATACCAGGAAAACGCTCCTGGTCCTCACACAGTAACATCTCTTTAAAGTTTGATACAAGCAGGGCGAATGATCCAGCTCATTCCATATATTTCATACTTCACACCAAATAAAATACTGGGTATGCACAGTGTTAGGAAGTGGGATATTACTGCTATTTGATTACAGTGCTAACAAGAGTGTAAATGAGTATTTGCTGCCCTAAGAAGCTTTCCAGCCTCAAGATGGAATATAATCTTTCTACAGGACAGACGTGGCAAGCACAACACAGCTGAGAACTGCGCATGGCTACGTCTCTGCCAGAAGGCTGTTTGTGTGTAACGTACAGTACGGTTATCATATAGTTAAGCTTAAGTGTCTAACTTGCCAGAGATTCAGATAAAAATGAAGTACTTCTAATGTAAATGTAGCTTCCCAGCACTGTGCATCAGCCATCTCTAACTTTGTCTTGTTCCCCATTAACTGTTTTTCTTTCCTTCCTCACAAGACCACTGAAGTAACAGCCTTCATTAGAAGGAGAACCTCATGTCCTTGGCATAGCCCAGTTTGTCCAGGTTGGGAATGCACGCGTACTGGATCATGGGAGGAGGTCCACACATGAGGATCAGAACATCGCTCTGAGGTGGGGGCAGGTGGTCTCTGATCATATCTTGGTTCACAAATCCTTGGCTGTAATCCCAATCTGTTGGGGAAGAAAAAGAAAAAGAAAAGAAAAAGAAGAGGAGAGGAGAGGAGAGGAGAGGAGAGGAGAGGAGAGGAGAGGAGAGGAGAGGAGAGGAGAGGAGAGGAGAGGAGAGGAGAGGAGAGGAGAGGAGAGGAGAGGAGAGGAGAGGAGAGGAGAGGAGAGGAGAGGAGAGGAGAGGAGAGGAGAGGAGAGGAGAGGAGAGGAGAGGAGAGGAGAGGAGAGGAGAGGAGAGGAGAGGAGAGGAGAGGAGAGGTCACTTTATTATAAACTGTGTGCATCTCTATTTTTTTTAGTAAAACTGCAGCCCGTAGCATTTGCGCTCTCCTGCTAAAAGGAAAATGTGCCCCTTATGCTTTTAAAATGGGATTGATGCATGGAGAAAACAAAAGTGAATTTTTAAGAAAGCGTTCTAAAAGCCCCAAGGAAATACCAAGCAAAGTTGTGAAAAGAATATGAATCTTTTGAGCTCCAGCCGCGTGAAACAAACAGCAACATCCATCCTCCTTAATACACTGCTATCCAAGCTGCCTTAGAAATGCAGGGAGAACGCTTATTGTAGAAAATGACACGGGAGCACCAGACTCCAGGGATGGTTAAGACCCTCCCCACCATCCTGTGTGTCACAGTTCGGCCTGGTTTCCGTGGCCAACAATATGCCTTCCACAGTGTCATGGTCACAAGGTAAGAGAAAGCACATGGCTCTTCCCTCTCTGCTCCAAGCTACCAGCGAATGGAGTGTGACTCTCCTCTGATGGGGGTGGGCATGACATAGCAGGAGAAAGGAAGGTCACCTTGGATCACAGCAGATAATGGTTAATATTCAGGTGTAGTCACGGGATGAACATAACACTATCGTTCCCCTCAGGTGAGCTTCATAGGTATGGAAACACTGTCAGATAACATCTAGAGCTTCTGTCCACAACTGTGTAAAGAAAGAAGCTGCTGGATGCATTCAGTGTTGCGTGAACACAACTCATCAAGAAACAAAGGAGCTCAGAAATACACACAGTGCAGCATTTCTCCTGTCAGACATGTGCATTAGTACCCATAACTTAAGCTGCAGTAGAGATAGCACGACAGGTCTTACTTTCAGGTGCTTTATCCAGTGTATACCAACACTTAAAACGGTTGGGGTGCTGAACCTGAATCTCTTCCAGCTCTGAACGTTGCAGGATATCCTTCTCAGTCTGCCGGGTAAAGGAAACACTGGTTATGGCTCTGCATTTGAATGCAGCCCTCAGATGGCCACTACAGTTCTGTGTAGTTTTGTGAGATGGAACAGATTATTCAACCCTGCTTTAAAGATTGAGGAGAGCCTGTAAATGCAAATTATTTCCATGATGATCCCATTGCAGAACTTGCCCAAATTCCAGCCCCGTAATTCCTTCCTTCGAAACAGTAAGACAAAGCAATACCTGCATCAAAACACAGAACTCATTACAGAATCAGTGGTAACACTTAAGAACGAGTCCTTCCTTAACACCTACATTAGAAAAGCGGCTTTCATTAAACAAAAACAAACAACTAACCATGACTACATGTGTATTTTCCTACCCTCCAAACTCTGCCTTTCAATCAGGAAATAAAAAGGCCAATTTTTCACCTCCACCACTTTAAATTTCATCAGCACTGCCATATGGAGATGCTCAGTTTTTAAACAAGATGTGGAACAACAAATAACCAAGGAGGTACTGAGATCTCATTGGAGCAACAAAGGCTGTGCAAGTTCTGCTCCTCTCTGATGAAACACCATCAAAGGCCAAAAGAAAACCTTACTCCCATAAAAGCAGCCACAGTTTGGGAAGGAGGGTAAGGGCAGAGACTAAAACTGGCATCCTCCTCCACAGCCTTAATAATTTGGCACTGAGGACATGACAATGTCTGGGCTGTGGGGCTGATGAGGAATGTGCCAACATCTATTGCCAGGAAGGCTCCTGTTTCTGGACCTGCTGCTGCACGGCTTCCAGAAGGGCTGTAACTGGGTCTGACCAGCTCCAAGTGGGCTGCTATGAGCCCAGTACGCTGTCTTCTGTAACCCAACACAGCTCCTTCAGCAGGGTCAAAATAGAACATGTACAAAAAATACTTTATAGCATTAAATATTAAAAAAAACCTAGTCTGTAGGCTTTCATGCCTGTCCATCTGCTTTATATTTGTGCAGTGCTTGGGTACAGGGACTCCTTAAAGCCAACAACTGATGTTTACACAGCCTGTTGCTAATACACAGGCAACTGTTTCTCTCAAAAAAACCCTCCTCCTCGCAAGAAGCAATAGGATTTCTAGGTTGCTAGAACAGCTCAACTTCTATGTTAGTCATTCTGAATTAACTCACAGCAAATCCCAAATCCTGACCCTCTACCAGCCCAGAGACCTACTGCATTATGTGCCAGCTTCAAGCACTCAGCAGATATCAAATGCTGCAGCTGCATCACCCAGTGCCAGAGGGCACTCCAAAAGCACTTAGGAAGGTGCCTTATTACAGTAGTAAAGCACCAGAATAGGGCAGTTGTTGGCACTTGGATCATTGCTTTTGAGTAGAAGAAAAAACAAAAAGTATTTTTTGTACATGTTCTATTTTGACCCTGCTGAAGGAGCTGTGTTGGATTACAGCAGCCAGCGTACTGGGCTCATAGCAGTTCTGTAATACAGATATAGTCTGCAGGAAATGGGATATGGTGAATACCAGAGGAAAGAAGAACAAAGAAGGAAAGCCTAAAGAAGCTAAGAAACACAGGCAGGAAAAAATCTCACATAATTCAGGAGCAGAAATTAACCATGAGGGAGTTTTGAAAACAAAAAGATGAGCACCAGAAGAATGTCAGGCCAAGGAGGGGCGTGCAGTTCAGCTACACACCACCACTTGGATTGCCTGGGCAGCCAAGAAATCCCCCTATCACAAGAACATTACGTGTCAAAAGGATCTTCCCTTTTTCCAGCAGCAAAGTATGATACAGCTCTAAGAGTGAACGAAACATATGAAACGCTGATGGAGGGAATAAAACTGAAAGGAAACAGCTGTGCAGAACCCCAGCTCTATAGTCAAGGAAGCTGCTGGAGATCAGTTTTAATTTTAGCTCACATAAAGCATTCTCAAGAAGACTCCTCTTACAAAGCCTGCTCTTAAGTTGGGGAGATTCAGTTGCTGAAGGAGCCCAATGTCCACCTCTTCCACGTTTTCACTAAGAAAGACAGCTCTGAAAGTCTACCCAAAACATATCAACTTGCACAGATGAATCCAGAGTTTTAAAAAATTCTGAATCAGAAACAGAACAATAAGATCCAGGACATTGAGCATCAGCTGTGAGGACAGTAGCGCTTCAGCAGCAATGTTCAAAGAAGTAATTATAGTCACCGACCCTGGAGGTGCTCAAGGAACGTTTGGATTTTGTGTTGAGGGACGTGGTTTAGTGAGAACTATTGGTGATGGGTGGATGGTTGGACTGGATGATCTTTTAGGTCTTTTCCAACCTTGGTGTTTCTGTGATTCTGTGTGTGATTACTGCTCACTTCTCCCCTCACAGCACGTATTGCTGCACCACGCTTCCTCAGCAACAACTTCAGTTGCTGAGTGGAGCTGTGTTTGTTAAATAACACTTCATAAACAGAAATAAGGACAGAAATTACCTGGTTAGCAAACAGCAGCTGGCAAACCGTGGAGTCATCCTTGTCTTTCATGATTGCTCGAATGATCTGCAGCATAGGTGTTATTCCTGAAAGAGAAGTGCTGTAAGTGATGTGAGAAAGTAAAGGAGAAAGTGCAAAGGAACAGGTGAGGGAAAATATCAACAACATCTAGCAGGTGTCAGAGGCCAAAGATGAATCTTTACACACGTACCAGTCCCACCTGCGATCATCCCCACATACTTCACTTTCTTAGTAACCGGTTGGGCTTTCTTTTCAGGTCGAATAGCAAACTCACCTAGAAGAGAGAGATGTGGAAAACAATGAAGAGAGCAGGAAACAGAGCCTGTGATCACTTCTCAGCATTTTTCAATTAACTGACGTTGTAAAACAGGGGCAGAAAACAAAGGTGAACTGAAGACATCACAAAGAAAAACAGAAATTCTGACTGTTTCAGGATCATGGTGTCAGACACTGACAGGAATCCTGATTCTGTGAGTACAGCATGAAGCTCTTACTAGTTGCATTTCTACTTGCTTAAAACCCATAATGCCAATGATGTTCAGAAGCCCAGATTTTGTATCATTTACTCTGGATAAATTATATTTTCTGAGCTTTGCCTTTTCCTTTGTAGACAAGCAGGCCACTTGGTCCTCTGAAGTCAATGGTATCCCCTATTTTCAGGCTGTCTAAGTACTGAGACATCTTCCCTCCGTCAGGAAATTTCGGATGGACACCTTTCATGTAAACCTATGTAAAAAACAATGAAATAATTAATCTCACAGCACAGAAATGAGCACGTGTCCTTTTCTCTGCCATTCAGATATTCACGTAGCCATGTTCCTCATTCATAGGACGCAATCACTACATAAAGAAATACTATCTAGACAGATTTGACTGACAATGAAAAAGAAGCACTGAGTTTTCCGATAAGGATTGAAATTACACTCTTGCCCTGATTTTGACCAAGTTGGAATCGATCATCTGCCCTGTCTGGATCAGTAACAACAAAAATCCCCACCACCCTTAATAATGGTCACAAAGAGCATATGGCATTAGCTGAAGAAGCAGACAGCTTACACAAGGTTAATCTCCTACTTCAGAAGCATTGAAAAATGCAAAAAAATCTGCAAATGTGTACAGATTCTGGAAAATGGCCGTGTGCAAGCACAGGAAATTATGAAGTACCTTGTGAGACACGCTCAGTAAAGAAGGGCGCGTAGAATGCCACAGGGATTGTAGATAATTGCACAGTACTTGTTAGAATGGAAGTCCACAGGGGCACAGAGCAGAACAGAACCTGGCACACCAGGCTTCACAGGGCACTGCAGGCATGCAGGTGGATTCAGGAGTTGCCCAGCCTGTACAACAGCATGACATCCTTACCTTGATGACAAGATCCACGAAGCCCTTGTCATCGTCACTGGAAATCGGAGTGTAAGGTCTAATGACCAGCGCTCCATCGATCCGAGCAGACAGGTAGATATGCTGTCCTGGTTGTGGGGAGGAAGAAAAGCACGTTGCTTCCAGGGGATTTTTCTTTCGGTGACGCATCAGGAGGGCAGTTAATGCACAGGCCATCTCAAAGCTCTACCAACTACCTTTCTCCTTTGAAAGTAGCAATCGCATTTCAATCTCTCACACATTAGCTGAACTCTTTTCTCAATGCCTACGTTATAATGAAAAAGAAAATCCCTCTAGAATTTAACTCCTTGGAAAGGTTTTCCAATACCCTTACGAGACACAGCTGAAGAATACCCAGGGGAAATTTTTCATTATTTTAACATCATTAGGCCCCCACAACGGCTGCTTACAAGGGTGGATAATGATAGGACAAGAGGGAATGGTTTTAAACTGAAACAGGGGAGGTTTAGGTTAGATATTAGGAGGACATTTTTCACACAGAGGGTGGTGACACACTGGAACAGGTTGCCCAAGGAGGCTGTGGAGGCATTCAAGGCCCGGCTGGATGTGGCTCTGGTCAGCTTGGTCTGGTAGTTAGTGATCCTGCACATAGCAGGGGGTTGGAACTAGATGATCTTTGAGGTCCTTTTCAACCCAGACCATTCTATGATTCTGTAACTAATGCCTCATAAGATGAACTTTGCTCTCCAAAGATGTATGACACAGCTCCTTTGCCTGTTGCAGGTACGCAAAAAGAGGACTTTACTGGGAGCTGTTTGTCACACTGGAGGGCCAGTGATGCTAACCAGTGGATGGATAAAGATGTGCAACCTGGTGACACTACCACTGTAGATCATAAATCTTTAAAGACAGGTATTAGCAAGAAATTCTTTATTGTGAGGGTGGTGAGACACTGAAACGGGTTACCCAGTGAGGTTGTGAATGCCCACTCTCTGTAATCATTCAAGGCCAGTCTGGATGGGGCTTTGAGCAACCTGATCTAGAGGGAGGTGTCCCTGCATACAGCAGGAGGTTGGAACTAGTTGATCTTAAAGGTGCCTTCTAACCCAAACCATTCTATGATGATTCTATGACAGTGCTATTGTGCTTCTCTCTGAGGGAAAACATACTTTATGCCCTTATTCATTAGTGCTTTTCCTCCTCGCAGAAGGGCAGCTGCTGGGGAGCCTCCATAAAGCCACACAGAATCCAACTTTCCATGAGCAAGCTGTGTTTTTTCCTGTAACACCCTAGCTGGCTGGTAAAAGCCAAAAGCTGGTGCTGGACTAAACATGCACAGGACATTCCAGAATCTGTCCCATAGCTGCCACACCCACGACTCCCAGCTGCCTTGCTTCCCACATCTCACACCAGCAAGCACCCCTGACCCACAGACCATCCAATAGGCATCTACAGCCTAAGTCCTTATTTAACACAAGTCACGGTGAAATGCACTTTACATAAGCAGTGAGAAGCAACAGCACTAAGCCAGTACAGAAGGCAATATGCCACATGGCAAGGCCTCAGGAAACATCTACTCCATGGTGACTAACAAGTTCCATGAGACTCAGAGCTTAGCAGACTAGCTGGTGAAATGCATGCCTTAGCTGGGAAGCATTGGGAACATTGCCTCGAGGGGATCACAGACACCAAGTGCCATGGGACTAACACACACTGGAAAGTTAAGATTAGAAGAATACAAAGACCAATGCTTCCTTCTTCTACTGCCTTCCCAGAAAGAAGCTGGATGTACACTCTTGGTAAGAACACTGGATTTCAGGCACCACACTGACATCCAAGTCATTCAAGGGCAGGCTGGATGTGGCTCTGGGCAGCCTGGTCTGGTAGCTGGTGACCCTGCACATAACAGGGGGGTTGAAACTACATGATCACGGTGGTCCTTTTCAACCCAGGCCATTCTAGGATTCTGTGATAATGTTACATGACTCACAGCACTGGGACAGTTTTGCAAAGCTCTAACAGATCAAGGCACACGGGCAGCATTGGAAATTCAAAATGCAAGAAAAAAATCTCCCACAGTACAACTAACATGGCTCTGATTCTCAGGAAGGAAAGCCAGAACGTACCTATTGGTAGACCCAGAACATGATCCATGGAAGGGAGAGCAAACCGAAATCTCCTTGTGTCATGGCTTACTTCCTGAAAAACAAGAATAATCATCAGCCACATTGTTGGGATTTTGATTGTGAGTTCTCCTGTAAAATCACTGCACCTGTGTGGCCTGCTGCAGGATTAAGTATTTAGGGGACAGCAATACTCTATCTGAAATTTCTGCATAATGTAACAACTGATCAACTGATAAATAAATGCTTGTAAAACTTAACTTTCCCTCAAAATGTTTTATTCATAAGTTTTTAACTTTCATGTTGAAATTGAAGACGTACCGAAATATTGTTTTGATGAATATTTAAATGTTAATAGCAAAACTTAGTTAAGATACTCATACAGATTAAGAATAAGCAATAGCTTTCTGAGCACTGTGAATACTACACTGTGTTCTGTGCGGGGGCCACAAGTTAAAAACCTAAGCACTATTCCAGATCTCATTAAACACACAGGAATTCAACAGCAACTGCACCATTTAAGATGGGCCAACGGTACTGGAACACGATTATTCTGGTGCATCACAGCAGACAACTGTGAGCAACACTCAGAAATTCATAGCACCCCCATGCTTATGCCTCGTGCCTGCTGCAAGGCCAGGACGCTGAGCACGCTGCTCAGCAAGGTCTTAGACCGAGGCCACATCAGCAGCAGCCTTGAAACCATCTCCAGCACAAGGCCACCTCCCAGCGTTCCCAATGCCATCACTCAACACCTGGAAGCAAGCCCCTGGCCTCCAGCTGCCAGCACATTTCTGCCTCAAGCTGCGGGTGCCAAGGACCTCACCAGGCTCACATCTGCAAACAGAGAGGTGGTGGACAGCTTTTTTGCAGGCTGGTGCTTAACTGTGTGATGCCAGCTTCTCCGAGTGCCAAATGGATCCTTACACTACTGGGACAAACACCAACCTTTCTGGTGGTGCCTAAGGGCAGCTGACAGGCAGAGGAAGCACTGAGTCTGCTTCCAACTGCTGAGCAAACTGATACGTTTGGCTTCCAGCTTTACCACAAAGATCTAGGCTGTGCTAATGGACGCACAGACTTCACACAATGAGTTCCCCAGACCTGTGCTTTTCAAACGTCGTAACTGCAGGTACTGTTTCTTCCTACAGAACCTTTCTGAACACACTCCTAGTGCTGTAGGGCAGCCAGTACATAAATTGCTGGCATTTCCAGCAATCACAGGACCATTTCTGTTTTTAGTAAAACCTAATCACCTTCTGCGTTTCTCTTGCCAGCCACACTTCTTGTTCTTTTGCTTCAATTGCAAGCCCACAAGAAAAACTTTCTGCAAGGCCATATTCTCAACTGCACCATTAAATACTTTCATCTAAGAAGAAGAAGCATATAGTCCCCAGCCACTCTCAAGAAAAAAAAAAGGAGTCAATTTGTTCATTGTTTTGTTTTAAACACAAATCATTTAGATGCTGTGTTGGTGAAGTCACCGAGAGCTTCACAGTTACAAAAAGGGAATGATGAGTACCAACATGGCAATGGGAATAGTGAACACTTCTGAAATAGAAGGGCCTTTGGTTGGGCTGCATGAGCTGCACTCTCCAAGGAAAAACTCCACATTCTCATCTCGCCACACGTCTTGAGTAGGCTCCACATCCACACTGAGTGCCACCACTCCCTTCCCAACTTTTAAGACCTTAAGACCTTTAAGACCTTTTAAGACATTAAAAGGTTTCTGCGTAATGACAGCTGTGTTCCAATTAAAGTGCTCCACTCGTTTAAGAGCTTGTAAATTACAAACTGTGGGTGTCAGAAATACTAATTTCATCCTCCTCGGACAGCTGGGTATGACAATCTTGAGTAGTTTAGCAGCACCAGATTTCTGGGAGGCTGTTACAAATTGCTAATGAAAATGCAGAACTACAGCTCTGCAGAAAAAGCACTTGTACCAAGTTAATCTCACTGATTAAACTACCACAGGCAGCAACACTTGAGGTGGTTATAGCAGAGCTGTTCCTTCCTCCCAAGATTAAAAAAAACTGCACAAAACACGACAACAGACTGAGAAAAATCAGCATTTAGAAGAAAAAAAAAAATTGTGAATGATTTTCAGTTAGAAATAGATGCAGCAGAAACCTGCCAGCAGTCTGATTCGCAGAAGCATGTGCAGTGCCTCTAGCTTCCATCCCTTTCAGCAGTTGGGCAGCCTGTACCTACCACCACGTGCTACACAGCTTATGAAAGAATGGGGAATGTATAATAACAGCATTGCTGCAGTATGCATGGGTAATAAATGCTGCATGGCAACCCTGCCCAAGCCATGGGGAAACTTCTGCTTCCCAATAAACCAAAGACTTGGAACCAAATGATTGCTTTCTTTGACAGAAAGAACAAACGAAAGCCAAGCTCTCAGTGCACTCAGTGCTCAGTGCTCTCAGTGCTCAGTGCAGAGCTCTGCATACCTTGAGGAAAGCTCAGTTACAGTCCATAGTCCCTTTCATCAAAATCTTCTGATAACTTTTTGACCAGCTCATTGACTTAAGTCAACACTACAAATATCTTCAGGTATGACTACACACTGGAAAGCCAAGATCTCTGACAATCAGCTTATCCAAGGGAAATATGGACCTCTAACCTTTTGGGCCCTGTTTCCCCAAGCAGAGCTACCAACTTCTGGCAGCAGTATCTGGTGATTTTAGAAATTCCTGCTGATGTACTCTATGACATGAGGCTCACTTGACAGAAACTATGAGTACAGTCATTTCCAAAGCATCTTGCACCACTCTAAGCTGGCTTGCAGGAATTTATGCCTGAGAACTCACTCATGCTAGGCAAGGAGCATGTATAAATGAGTTCTTTGTTTAAAATACAGATATTTGCATGATTTTACCAGAAGCAAAGCTCAGCAGCCTTCAAAAAATCTACTGTTCCCTGCAGCAACACTGCCCAAGATGTAGGCATCAGTCAGCAATTCACAGCATCCACGAGAGGTCCTGCTCAGCACCGCACATGCACGTACGTACCTCTTTATCAATCAGCCTCAAAGCATACTTCACTTCAGGATCCTTCAGAGTGATTGCAGGACGAGGAGTCCCAAAAAGCCTCCGGACAGTGCTGTAGATGAGCCATATTGGGTATGTCACAACCCAACTCAGCTGTGGCACAGAGAGAGAGAGCATTAGACACATGTGTTCCTCAGCCCCTGCAGGCTCACACAGACAGGTGCCAGGCCAGCTGTGGGGCAGAGAGCTTCCTGTGACAGCAGCTCAGTCCTCAGGCTGGCATTGGGGTTCCCCTGCTTGTGAGCATCTCCCTGTGCTCCCCCATGTGCAGCAGAACCTGAGGCACCTAACACTGATACAAGTTCACCCAATCTTGGGGAAGGAGAGCAAGCTGAGCTCCTGCTTCTCATAGCGATCCTCTTCAGCTCTATGATTTGTTATTTAATGCTTCAACACAGTAGAGGGGAAAATCACAAGGGTAGCTTTTGTGAAAAAAAGAAAGAAAAAAGAAAAAAAGGGAGTATGATACAGATCAAACTGAAAATAAAAACTGAGCGATGTACTTTGCCTGCATGCAGTGCTCTTTCTGATTCATGGAAGAAGGTGAAGTCTCAACTTTGCTTATGAAGGACCAGACCAGTGTTTTGGAATCACACTGCTGTCAGCCTGACAGCCTTCAGGAGGCTGCAAGGCATACTATGTGATTGCCAAAATCATGGCAAGTGTACGATCAAGACAGTAATAAACTCTCGTCTCCTAAAATGCTGCTGTAGAGACATAAGAGCTATCAGCACCTGGTACAACCTGAAAGCATGCCATGCCACACGCACACTGCATTTTTCCACTTTACTGCAAAAATTATGTCTAATGAAGCTGAAGCTCCTGCAGACCCGTGAGATTATCGCAGCTCTAAGAAGGATTTTTGTTACTGAGTCACAAAACAGACAGACGGGGCATTTAAGACAGTGACAGAGCAGCAAATAACTCCTAATGGCAACCACAACAGCGAGGCCTAGTGGAGACAGTAAGCTGAATGTGGAAGAGATGCCGCTGCAAACAAGACATTAATGCATTAAAATAAATTAGTTTCATTTAAACACGTGGCTACCAAAAATGAACAAAGAGCAGCTGTGGTTTAGCAAATGAAAATGGGAATTAAAAACGCTTGGGCCTGGTTCCATTCCCAGGACCAATGTATAACAGGGGACAAGGGAGAGCTTTGTGTATATAACCTCAGAAGCCAGTTTCTCCACCCATGTGCAGGAACAAGTTTTCTTCTATCTCTGTGAATAATTTTGAAGTCATCAGATGGCAAGTGTGAACTACCACAGCCACTCAGAGAGATAGAAAGCCACTCTTCCTCGTAACCATCACCTTTGGAAGCAGGGCACCAACAGCTCCCCCAGCATCGAGCTGAGTTCTGACAGTAATAACCACAGCCCCGCAAGCAGCCGTTCGTTACCCAGGGTTTAGCGGGACAGTAACGGCACAGCCGGTGTCTGACTGAGAACTAAAATAACTACCAGCTGATGAGCGGGGAAAAAGAGAGCAACGAAGGGCTGAGCAGCTTCAAGAAGCCGTGCCCGCCATCCACAGCGTTCTCACACCCAACAGCGCTGGACGCAGCGCAGCCACAAAGCACACAGCAACCTGAGCCCCCCGGGGGGCAGCAGCGCCAGGCCGGGAGCCGCTCAGCGAAGCGCTGGTGACTCACGGCTGCTAACACAGGATAAGCGACAGAAAAAGAATTTTTATTAATGGCAGCAGAGCGGGGCGGGGGGCGGAACAAAGGCGGCCATGGCAGAAGCCGCGCTGTGGGCTGGCGGCCGCGGCACGGGCGGGGCAACGGCGGGATGGGGGCTCCACCCCTCACACGGCCACCCGCGACGGAGCCGCGGCAAGAGGGAGCCGGGCCGCGCTCTCCCCCCTGCCTCGTCCCCGCGGCGAGGCGAGGCGCGGCTGGTCCCGCCCGGAGCACAGCCCGCCGCCGGGCCGTACCGGAAACCCGAGGAACCAGGAGGCGAAAGAGAAAAACCCGAGCCCCCCCGCACCGCAGCGCGGCCGCCACAATCCGACTGCAGCGCCGGCACCGAGCGGGGCGAGCAAGCAGCGTCCGCCGCCTCGCTCCCACGCAGGCAGATCCCGGCGACGCCGAGCCCCGCCACCGCCACGGCACTCACCGTGCTGAGCTGCGCCCCCATCGCTGCCCTCCAGCCCAAGCCCCGGCTCCGCCCCGCCAATCAGCGCCCGGCCTCCCCGGCGCACCGCCCCGCTGAGCGGTGCTCCGCCAATCCCCGCGGGCCACCAGGGGGCGCCGCGGCACCGCTCGCTGTGGCAGCGGGCGGGCCGTAGGCCTGCGGGATGGGCGCGGCGGGGCCGCGCTTGGGCCCCATCGGTACCTCCTGGGTAGGGCGGGCAGCTGCGGCCGCCTGAGCTGTAGTCCGTGCTGTTCCTTACCGCACAGGCTGGCGGGGACGGAGCGGCAAAACCGAGGTAGGGTGGGTGGAAATGGCGAAAAGAAAAACGGCCGCGTCCTCTGAACACGTTTCTGTTTGTTTCCCTCACCAAAGAAGGAATACATCTAAGAACCATTTCTGTTAGCTTCACCCCTTCTATGAGTCTGTCCTTATCGCTTTATCATGTATACATATATATACATATATATTCATCATGCTCTTTTGTCCATTATTAGCAAGATCATACAGTCACACAATCATAGAACCACAGAATGGTTTGGGTTGGAAGGAACCTTCAAGCTCACCCAGTTCCAACCCCATGCTATGGGCAGGGCTGCCAACCAGCTCAGGCTGCCCAGAGGCCCATTCAACCTGGTTTTGATTTCCTTCAGGAATGGGGCACCCACAGCTTCTATGGGCTGCTTTGCCAGGGCCTCACTGCCCTCTGAGTGAAGAACTTCGCTTAATATGTAACCTAAATCTCCCCTCTTTCAGTTTAAAACCATTCTCCTTGTCCTATCACTACACTCTCTGTTAAGGAGTTCCTCTACAGCTCTCTTACAAGCCCACTCTAAGTACTGTAAGGAAGATCACAGAATGGCCTGGGTTGGAAGGGACCTCAAGGATCATGAACCTCCAACCCCCTGCTACAGACAGGGCCTCCAACCTCCCCATTTAATACTAGACTAGGCTGCCCAGGGCCCCATCCAACCTGGCCTTGAACACCTCCAGGGATGGGGCATCCACAGCTTCTAGAAGCAATCGGGGAAAGCAAGAGGTATGCTCAGTAAACATCCAGTACCTTTGCTTCCTAAGCAATAGCTGAGTCCCAACATCTTTTCAAAATACAGAGAAGATTGCTTACCTCTATCAGCATCACCGTTCACTATACTGCTATACACAAGCCTGAACATCCCTCACTCATACATCTACAGAGTCACTGCCTGCACCTCACTCAGAGTAAGGCTGTTGAGATGGACGCATTTTTCAATGTGGTTCTCCTTATTTTCTGGGGAGGAAGTTTATGCAACTCCCTGGCATCTGATTTTGAGAATAACATTTGGAGGAACTTCTTTCTTCCTAGGCAGTGGGTGAAGAACCTCAGAACACATGCTCAATTCTCAGCTTCTGGTATGGAGAAAAGTGCCCTGGTACCAGGGTGCCCAGGTACCAGGGTGCCCAATACAGGGCTTCCAAGTCCATGAGTGGATCCAGTCCTTACTGTCTAGGCTGGAAGGCTAACAGCCTGGCACAGCAATGACAATATTCATCTGAAAAGCACAAGAATGGAGGTGTGGAACAAGGGAGCATGTTTTGGTCAGAGCTCCTAAAATTTAGATTTACACTGATATGTACACATTACTAACTAGTAAATAAATAAATTTGGAAGTCTGTGCTCAACACCTCAGAAACTCTTTCATAAATACGTAAACAGGCCTTAATTGTTCCTAGACAATCTCTTCTAATAAAATCAAGGAAAGCATAAGCTTGAATCCTCATATCAAGATAAAATAATAATGTGGCAACCAGGCACGGACTCAGATGTGAACAATCCAAGTCATTTATTACAGGTTCTCACATCACTTATATACATTCACGAGTTTCTTTTTTTTTAGCTTTCCCATTTGCCTTTCCATGTCAACAAAGTATTCCACAAACATTCCTTAAGCATGCCTACAGGTGCTTATCCGAAGAGAGCCATAGGCCATTTCTTTTGCTTTACTTCTAGAGATGTTCTTGGTTCTCAGCCTCACTTTCTCGTGCTGTTTATCTTGCTTCACAGCTGCTGCTCTGAATAGTCTTTCTTGTATTCCCACATAATAAAATAAATAAAATAAAATAAAATAAAATAAAATAAAATAAAGTAAAATAAAATAAAGCTCATTTGTCCCTTTAGTCCCTCAGCCCAGACTGGGGTCCCAAGCCACCTGTGTCCCCAACCTCTTGCTTTATCCCAGTCTCTGGTTTGCTGGCTCCCTATCCTGTCAATGGAAATATTCATACATTCAGATGCCAACCATTAGTTACCTATTAAATCTGATTAGTGCTGGTAAATAAAGGCAGGTCAGCAGGCCGAGCTGTCCACATCACCAGAAGGAAATGGGAAGGGTCTAAGTGGTATTTGGCTGCAGGGATGGAATTACTCATTTCTGGCCTTTCTGTGACAGAGTTTGCCTGGCGGTGTCATCCTCTCTTGCTTTTTCCCTTTGAGGACAGCTGCTGCACCAGAAACTCCTAGCAAAAGTGGAGGAACTGTAACAGTATTGGCTGGAAAGAAGAAGGATTTTAGGATTAGTAGTTTGAAGCTTAGAAACCTGGGTAGGTAACTGAGAGACAGGCTAGGCACTTGGGCCATGGAACTTGGTGGGAATTAAACTACCAGGTAGGGCTCCAACTCAAAAATTAACTTTGTGAAGGCAGAAAGCTCCAAAGTCCCCGCTCCCTGCCCACAGTAGGGACGTGAGCTCCTCATCTCCTCCTCAACCCAGCAAGGTTCTTGCTGACCAGCCCAAGCTGCCTCTCTGCTGTCATTCTACTTTCCCTCCTGGGGGAAAGTCAAGCAAAGGGCAGGAGAGAAGAGTTTCTCTAAACAAACAAACACTGATCCATTGGCAGCCAAAGCAAAGCACTTTGTCCAGAAACACCTTCTTGGAGCAGCACAGACAGACAGCCTACGTCCTTTAGAAACAGGCCTTATTCACAGGCTCCTGGCCTCGGTGACAGCACCTGATGCCTGAGATGGTTGTTCTGCTAGGTCGAGTGTCTGCCACATTCCCCTAAATGCCTAATATGAGCATGGTGACAGCAAATGTTCTTACCATTCCCTTGCCAGAACAGAGCAACAGAGCAGAGGGAGTTTGATGTCATTTTTCTGCAACCAAAGCATGTTGCCTTATGCAAAGACTTGTTCAGCTTTAATACTGTTCTTGACAGGGAAACGTGGACCAGAGATACAGAACTATTTGTATAAACAGAAGTCTAGCGTCAAAATGTTTTGGCTTCTGTATACATACAAATATATATGTATATTTATAAACATTTATGGTTTGAAACCTAAAGCTGTGTTTTCAGGAACTAGTTACTACAAAGAAGAAAATGCAAAAAAATATTAACCAAAACAAACTTTAAGCCACGCAAAGCTTTAATTTAGCCACGTAATGAATATGAGCTTCCCAGAACAGGCACTGGCAGGGGTGCTTGTGCACATGGCACCTGTCCCTGCTTGCTTCCAGTAATGCATGAAAAGGGCTGCCTTTGCAAAACATTTCCTGTCTATAATGCCTCCTGATGCTTACGAGGTCACACTTACAATTATCAGCTGTTACACAGAGAGGCAAACCACTTTTTTATTCCCCACCTGCTACTTTTTTGATTCGTCTTTCATTACCAGCTTTCCTTCTGTTGTCATATAACAAGTGTATATAGACCAGCAGCACTAGAGTCCACCTCAGACAAGTCCCTCAAACCAATAAATAATCCAGGGTTGAACCAGAAGTAATGACTTGACTCATGTAGGAGGATATCAGGCTCAGACCTGAAAACCCTGACAGCGCATCTCTGCTGTCGTTCCTGGTGCTATTGGTCCTCCCAGTCGCCTGCTGATAAGGAGCACAGTTGGTACAGGCAGCTCTGACTTCCTGGTCTGCGTGTGCATGTGGCAGCCAAAGCACAGGACGTGGTGCTGTGGCTGCGCTCCACGTTTCCTCCTGGGGTTTGGCACCTCCTGTCTTGTCTTTCTGAGTGACTGGAGGGGAAGGGAGGCAGTTCCAGTTCCTGGACTACTGGAAGGACTTCTGAGCTCCAGCTTGCATTTTCCCTGCTCAGTGAGGTGCTACAAGAAAAACTTCTGCCTAGCATGGCTGATAGGTAAGAGAAAATCATACTGATCTCTAACATGAAAGAGCAGTGGGAACAGGACATACTTGCATGGGAGACATGTAGAAGGGAGTTGGGTGAAATGCAGTGCTGTTTGTATTCAGTGAGTTCTAGAACGTCCCTTCAGCCTGAAAAGGTGGCGAGGACTGTAAAGACAAAAGAAATATAAACGGCTTTAGCTAAATAAGGGAATGCTGAGATTTTGCTTGGATAGAGCTGATATGTAGAATCAGTCTTCACAGTCTGCACAGAATCTTCATGGTGTTCGCAAAGCAGCTGCCCATTGCCGTGTTTGTCTCTTGTAAAGGCTTTTTCATTTCCACCTACAAAACCCGCTGTATTGTGCTTTTGTATTTCAAATACTGAGTTTATACTAAGAAAAGCATCACAGGAGAAAGACAGGCACACTGGCAGAAGTGGAAAATCAAGAGAATTGCTTATCTCTTCAATTAAACCTATGAGATGACAGCAGTATTTTGCATCATTTGAAATATCTTTTTTTAAGTGATTGAGAACTTCTTTTAAATGCTTGCTCATCAGACATTCCAAACTCTTACTTCTCTACGCTGAGATTAAAGGTTTTTTAATAATTGGATTCTGTTCAAAGGTCCTCTGAAGATAAATTTACTTTAGAGAAGATGCTCGACCAAATCTCCTTTTCCCTTGAAAGGCACCGTGTGACCCATTTGCAATACGTGTTTTTCTTGCTTTGACTTTATTGACTTTCTCACATGACTTTCCACAGATCCTTCTTACATTCTCTCCACCTCTTGAGTCATTTCTCATTTATAGCAATAAACACCTTCTTGCTGGGGAATTGTTTTATACATAATGAAAGTTTCATGCAGGAAAATGACTTGGAAAAACAAGCACATCCTCTCTAGATTTCATGTTTCACTTGACATCTATAACAAGGTGCAAACATTAAGTTCTTTTGCTCTAGTTGCACTGGTGTT